CCTCCTTCCCCATCTCACCTCTGAAGACAAGCGAAATAATAGATGGAAGCAAAGCAATTCCTCTGCCTCAAAATCAATATGCAGAGGACGAAAGGCACAGGTCTCCCTGCTCCTTCCGCCTGGGGGAAGGATGCTCGAGTTCTGTGCGAGACTAGCAGTACAGGGGCAGCTGTGATTGCTTTTACAGGCAGAAGAAAATGATGGTGGAGAAACTCCAGCCATCGTGGTCCTCTGTGCCAGCTCCTCATCGCGCTGCGGAGCAAACTCTGCACTTTTGGCACCCTCTTCTGCCTGGCCTGATGCCTGCAGGCCCTGGGAACAGGACGTACCTTCACGTCCCCAGGGGAGAGGAGCAACCTGGACGCTGGCTACAGCGTTTCTGCTGGGCCTCCTTGCTGGGGACATGGCAATACATAAAGCACCCCGCATTGTGGGTGCAAACATCCCTCCTCCTTTCCCCATCCCCGTCCCTGCAATGAGACATAGCATCTCTAGTTCTCTCAGGCAAACGAGATAAAACCCCCTGTGTCTCAGACTTGCTGAAGACGCAGAGCTATTTTAGCGGGTTACAGAAACTCTGTGCCATAAGACAGCACACGCAGCCGCCAGACTGCCATTTATCTCGGCTTACGGAGCTGAAGTGGCCGAGATAACGGCTGTAACGCTTCCTCCTCTTGTAAAAAGATGAAAAGCCCTCTGTGTGGGGGGAAAGAAACCCAAGGAGCTAATTTTTATGGCCATATGCCCTTCAGCAAAATGCAAATCTTTGAAAAGAAGGAAAGTTAGAGAGTCCAATGAGTGCAGACTGGAATCCAGATGATAAAAGCAATGCAAACATTTGATTACATGTTGGGGTTACATCTATTCATTCAGCCTCGGTGAAACAAAGTCAACAGCAGAACTACCACAGGTGTGGAAATAAATTGGGCAGAAAACTCAATCTTAAAATCAAATTTATTTAGAGGAAAAATGACTTTACAAGAGGTTGATGCTGATAACTAAAAAGGAAGATAAATAAAAGCTTGTTACAAAACCTAATGGTTTCTGGCAAGTTACAGAAAAACTGAAGAATTTTACAGTCAATAACCTGCTTACTTTTTACATAATTACAAATTAACATACAGCAATTAGGTTTTACCCTCTTTTTTAAAAATTCTTTTTTTCAACTTTTTTTTTAAACTTTTTTTTTTAATGGGTTCAACATGAAAATGCAAAGCATTTTTATTTATTTATTTATTTTTTAAGAAACAAACAAAAAGCAGAGGTATATCAGGTTATTATAATACACCTCCTCAATGCTCTGGGAATTACTCAAGTGCATTCCATATTAGTATAAAATAAACACCAGGCTAAACTTTAACCATAGGCAAACTGAACTGGACATAGGTTTTTGAATTTTCTTTGAGTCAGTGTTTAATATCAATAAAGAAAACAGTAAAATACTTTAGAGCATGGAAAGGATGGATACCTATAGACAGCTTAAATACATACGAAGCTTATAGCTGTATGCAAAGCAGTGAATGTTATCCTGTTCCCCCCTCCCCTGAGCAATGGAAGCTGAATATATTTGGGCAAAGCATCAGTGTCAGTGAAATGCGTGTGGAAAGAAAGGGCACCAAGCCCTGAAAACACAGGTGGGAAGGGAGCTAGCGTTACACTTCCCATCACTGAAGAGCATGAGGTGAATGAGATTAAGCCAGTTCAGTTAGCCTATCTTTAAAATTTAGCTGCATCACCAGATCAAGAATCATTGATCGCTGCCCCTTCTGACAAATGAAGCAAGAGTTACGAGCAGCAGGGGAGGTTTTTTATTTAAAAGGGTGTCTTAAATTATGTTAAATTCCCAAACCTGGCCAGCAGGCAGAATAATTTCCAGAGTTCTGGTTAACAAGGAATGTTTTGTGGGATTTTAGCTGATACTCTCTTGTACCCCCTGCCCAGTCCTCCCTTGCCCCGTGCCAGAGATATCCTAGACAGCTTCCTTGGGATTTGGCACATAGTGAACCTCTTCTGACTCGGTGGCATTTGGAAGGACTGGATTTGGGTATTTCAGCAACAGCTTTGAGATAGCCTAGTGCCTCAAGGAAGGTGCAAAGATGATTGGACTCTATGGATGCTCTTGCCTTCGAAAGGCAGTACAAATCCGCACAAGCTCATGGCATTACTGTGCTTCTCAGCAGTGGTCAAATTGCAAGAGTGAAGAGTCCACCCTCAGGGGTGGTGAGAGCCCCTGCCCCAGGGATGGCATCTGGGAGGTCTCCCAATGGCCTGGACAGTAAATAACTTAGTGCATGGAAAGGGCCTCACTTCACACTTACTTGGTTGCATCCCCCCCACTCCTTCTTTGCTCTGGGTTTCTCCAAGGAAAAGGAGATGGAGGGTTAACCACTGGTGGGAATGCTTCCCTACCGGCAGCAGTACCCGCTGTGAGGAAGGTGATGGTGACGCCAGCATGGGCTCTCCCGGGGGACATACCTGAGCCATCAGAAGCCAGTTCTCTGGTCCTGCCACTCACCCTGTCTGCAGTGGGACTGTAAAATTAATAGAAAAAGCTTGGCCCTTCCTCCCCTCCCAGGGTAAAGCCAAACCAAACCAGGAATATGCCTACTTGCAGCTCAGATTTTGCTGGGGATGCAGAGGGGGGAAGCAATGGCAAAGCTGATTGTCTCCACATAACCAAAATAAAAAGGGACAAGACCAGTTCCATTTAAAGTGCTTTATGGCATCAAACTGACATCAAGTTACATGTTGAGATGATCACTTTGTTTAAAAGAAGCTAAGGCCAAGCCCACACAACTCCATCGACTCTCACATGGTTTGATACAGCTACTCTACCGCTGGGGTATTCTGGTACCCCCAGCTAATACTGACCACCCACACTCCCACTTCCCTGGTCATTGAAACCCATTCTGTTGGGCAGTGATGAAGACCAGGCAAAGAAAAGCCCAAGAAAAGAGTCTGATTTTTTCCCCTTCATGAAACAATAGAACAAAAAGCTCTGAGAGCCCTTGCAGGGTCCTCTTCTCCCTCCAACAATATGGGCTTCAGACAGACATTTTTGAACCTGCTCTGTGTCCCAGGAACCCAATGCAAAACGGGGTGGTTTGAGTGCTCCAAATGGGATCAAGGGACTGGCTCTGGGAACCAGACACAGTATCAGGCTGGGCTGAAGAAATAGCATGCTTTCAACAACTGCAGGATGGATGCCAACTGTGGAAGTGGAGCAAATGCAATTTTAAGGCCAGGAAGTGGAAAGGCTTTGGTGCTGTAAAGCTGGGACCATACTCTAGCAGACAACCCTAGGCAACCTGCAGGGATCAGAGTGTGAATCTGACTCTGGGAACCTATGCCAAACCTTTCCAAAGAAAACCTGAGAGGGGAAGAATAAAAGGCTAAAGAGATAAAAACAAGCCCTTGCCTTCCTAAAGGTGAAAGAAGGAGGAAGCAGTGTGGGAATAAAGGTTTCATTCCAAAAAAGTGAATCATATGGTAACAGACATCCTCCAGGGAGAAAGGTCTGTCCACCAGAATTTAAGACACAGCTTTGATACGCAGTATTTCTGGTCAGTATATTTCTGACTCATGCCCATGGTTTCTCTGACAAGGAACCATGGGGACCTTAGGAAATCACTTAGCAAATACTGTTTTCACTTAGGGCACTGAATGCTCTTTCTGATTTGCACAGGTCAGGAAGAGTTGGTCAAGCCAGGCAGAGACCCATCCCTGCTGCCCTGGGTCACGTGTCTCCCTTTTGATGCCCTTCTCGGAGCCATGGGACATTCCCATGTCATGAATTCAAGATGTGTTGGGACGTGGAAAAGACAAGGGATGAAAAGAAAAGCTTATACTGGCAAAGGGTATTACAGACTGAGGGGAACTTTCAGAAATACCGGGGACCTGATCTCTGTTTACACGACAGTAAATGAGCCATGCACTGCTTTGGTTTCCAAAAATTTCAGCTTGGCACATTCATTTTTGCAGATGTACAAACAGCAGGGCAGAAGTTATTTTGTGAAATTGGTGTTTTTCTTATGAAAAAGATAACACCACACCACCAGCACATGCCTCCTCCAGCTCCTTTCAGGTTCAGGAGAAGAGCTGCCTGATCTCCCCGGACAAGCGACTGGACCCTCACATCACTGCAAGACACTCCATGTTTTGCTTTCTCCTTTGTCTCCAAGAGGTATGAGAAAACCTAAACAAAATATTTAAACAAGGAAACTGATAGGAGGAGTCTTGTCTGAAGTCATTGCTGCTTTTTCCAGACTTTTTTTGGCCCAAAGATGCTCTGCCTTAAAGAAAGCTCTCAGTTGAAATTGTGTAACTCTGGGCACGGCATGGGCTGCTAAGCAGCACTGCCCAAACCCTGGTTCTGTAGGAACCAGGGAGATAAGAACATTTGGTTTACCAATCTCTTGGTAACAAAAAAAACAAAACAAAAATGAAAAAAGGGAAAGAAAAAAACCAAAACACCCCTCAAACCCCCAAACAAAAGCAAAATAAAAAGTAAAATGAAATAAAAAAATAAAATCAAGTAAACTTCTTTTAAAAAAAGAACTCTTTCAAATAAACAGAAAGATAAATATCTTTTGCAAGCCCTGCTTGCAATTAAGAACAAGCACCAAATAATATTAAAAAAGGCAAAATAAAAATAAATCTCAAACCTTTTTCCTTTCTTCATTTTTTTTTTTTTGTTTTGAGTCTTAATAGTTTAGAGAGCTTCAAAAGCAAGCAGGCGGTTTAGGATTCCTGCACTGACCAAGACAGACCAGTCTAAGTATCCACCTCACCATCAATGCTGCTGATACTGATCAGCACCCAACTCTGAAAACTGCTGCGGGTTACTAGCTTGTGAGAAGCCAGAGAGCAAATTAAAATCAAGCGATAGTGCAAGAAGAGATTTTTTTTTTTTTTTTTTAAAGAAAAACTGGTAGGAAAGGAAATGCACTCGACAGTTTCATACTCTGAGCAAACCCTTGAGCTATTTTAAAGCTGATAGCGTCTCCTAACCATTTACAAATCTGCTCAGACAATTCCCCTGAGAGGGACTGGAGGAACAATAATTTTGGAAAAAAGTTTGGCTTGCTGCATTTCTCTTCCCCTGCTGAACACATCCGTATATTCAACAGCTGTACAAACACCTCACAGTCAGCACAGCGAGAGCCACCCTCAGACCTCCCCCTTCTGCTGATGGCAACACGGGGACACACGGACACTTTCACCCTAGAGCCCACGGCAATGGAAACAGACCTGCCACACTGGATGTTTGGACCTGTCCCACCGTGCTTTTGTCCATGAGAAGGTATTATCTCCCCAGAAACGGTTAATAAGTGCACAGTATTGTATAGGCATAGCAACCAGGAGCCGCAGCTTTGGAGTTTGCTCTGCTCACATCACTCAGTCCCCTGACCTGCAGTATCTCACTGAAGTGCTCTGAAATTGCTGTTGTCTCATTCTGCCTTAGAAACAAGCAAGGGAAGCTGACAAAATCCAGAGAAACAGAAGCCCAATGTTAACACATGAAGTAGGGGAAGAAAAATACAAATAAAAGAACAAAGGTCCCTAAAAGCAGATTTTCAGCCATCTCTCCAAGTAAGTCATCAGGCTTGTAATGAAGGGATGCCAAATTTAACTGGAGAACTATATTCTGGCAAAAAGAAAAAATAAAAATCTTAACTTAGGGGATGGGAAGGAGTGAACTGGAGCTCAAAGAGACTGCATAAAAAAAAGTTGCTTAGAGTTGTTCCCACTTGAATACTATTTGTTCTGGCTCCCTGGGGTTGTCTTACAAGCCTACCAGATTTCTCTTTTCTGCACCATTTTAAACATACCCAAAGACGTTCTGCTTGATTCTGGAAACAGTTTGACATTTAAATCCTCTGTCCTATGAAAATCTTTCAGAATTACTTTAATTTTTTTTTTCTCTGAATTTTTGTTTTGAACACTATTACTGCTTCCTGGTGTAATGTATCTTTCTGAAACCGAACAGTCCATATACCATGAGCACAAAAGGGGCATGCAAGTCAATGGCCTTACAATCGGAGCAGTAAGGGCAAGATATTTAATATCTACACGCTCCCTGAAAGTCATCAGGTATCATCTATCCCCATGGGCCGAGCTAAGCGTGGCTGGACAGACTGTAAGCATATCCCAGCGGATACATAGATACATATATGTATATATACAGTATATCTATATATGCCAGTGTGTACGCACCATTTGTAGAGTCCTAATCTTTTGCTAAATGCTTGGTTTTGGTTATGTTCCCCAGAAAAGGGGAATTTGAAGGCACAGACCCCTTAAGGCTATGTTCTCTCATCCTTTAGCAGTAAGAAGAGACAGAAAACATCTATCCCAATCGATTCAACCCAAGGTTTGCACAGAGAGACGGTACTATTTGCTGTGCAGTCAGCCTCTGTGGTGAGAACTCACGCAAAACCACAGGAGAGAGGCCCTTTCCCACCACTTAACAGACTTCATAACATGTTTTATTTAAAACCTCCAGATGCTTGTCAGATGCAGGCACCAGCAGCGTGCTGTGGAGCGGGCAGGGAGATGTCTACTGTACCAATGCCGAGAGTGACCAGTGGAACCATCTGTGCTCAGCAGAAGATCTCCTCACCCTCTGGAGGTGCTTCTGACGAGTGAGAATCTGCAGCACAAAGAAACAGGTGGGAATAACTATGGGAATACAGGAATACAGCAGGCAGAGCAGGACTCCACACACATGGAAACCCCGCTGTCTGCCCAACCCACTGGGCACCTTAAAAGATGTCCAGTTCCCTGATGAGCTACCATGAAATTACATCTCACAATTGCTGAGCTTTCCTGTCCACAGATTGGAAAACATCAGTGAGTTAATATGGATAAGCCAGTCCTCTGAGGGCATGAGCTCACATTTCATGTGGGTCAGAGGTTTGAGGTGCAGAACTGAGTCCTAAGGGGAGGCAAAATTACCAGAGAAAAAAACCTGCATGTTTTGGTTGTTGGGTTTTTGGGTTTTGTTTTTTTTTTTTTTCAGATCAAGAGACAACATAGACTGGCTTGAGGGGAAGGGAGAGGCCATCAGAAGGGTTGCAGGTATCACCTCCAAACTACAACAGGATTGAAGCAGACAGCAATGCCGCAAGGGTTGCAACAGCCAGGAGCATCCCAGCAGCAGCTCCTGAAAGCACATACACTGAAGCAGGGCATTTTCCTCCTTGAAGGAGAGCAAGCTGAAAAATAAAGGGAGAATCCAGCCTGTGGAGGCTGCTCAGGATGGGATGGGGAAGGGAAGGAGCAGGGAGCAGAGTGTGTCCCTCTGACAACCCCAGGGGCTGCAGAACAGGCAGAAAAGCCCACAGAAGATCACTTCAAGGTGGGAACTCCACTCATGACAGCTGATCTTCTCCATCCCTGTGTTACCATCCACATTTAAGGCTAGATTTCACAGCTTCCACAAGTTCACTGGCTGGAGGGAAAAGCCAGCTCACCGACCCTGAAAACACACCTATGACCTCCCCTGGCACTCACCAGACTGTTGGGAGCGATGTCCCCTGCCCTTTTTCTTCTTTTCCTTCTTCTCCTTTGGTTTGGCTAAACTGAAGAGACGGGTAGGCATCTGGGGCTGTTCCTCAGCTGCCTTGTTAGTCTGGTTTGTTGTGCTAAGCAAATGGAAAGTGCTTTTCTCTTTGTGTGTCCTTGAAAGACTGTTCCTTTTAGGGGAGACAGACAGTTCTGCATCAAAGTGCCCTTGTTTAGGAAGGGAAGGGCTCTTCTGCTTGGAGGAGTCATCAATGCTGGATTGGGAGGGGACTCTTCCAAGTTTCTCATGTAGATTTGAAACCTATAAAGGAAAGGAAAAGTGTTTCACTGGGGCATGAAAGAGGCTAGCAGAGAACCTGGAGAGAAAAGGTGTGTCCCAGACCACTCAGAGACAGAGGTTGCTCTTGTGAACATCCAGCCCGTTCACCAGCTACAAAGTGGTCCCCATCTAGGCAAAACAATGAGAGAAGCAGCCCTCTGTTTAAGACAAAGAAATGAGGCATATAAAGAGTAACACTCCAGTATCTTTTGCTCCTACATGTACTATGCTATGTATCAACAAGCCAAGGGCAAACATTCTCTAAGATCTCAATACCAAGACTCACCCTGCATCGTTCGCGCACACAGATGGTGGCAGAAGGCCAAGGAGAAGCGTGCCTCTCCGGCAGGGGAACGCCAGCACACAGCACTGGAGCGGCATGTGTCAAAGGAAGCCTTCCCAAGCAAAAGATGAAAGCAAAAACATTTTTCCTGATTTTTTTTTTCCTAACGGCTGTCTCAGGATGTAATTGAGCCCGCACATTCAAAAGGAAGATCAAAACAACAGCTCAACAAAGCCTTACTGAACCCTCTATTAATAGCTCTGAAATGTCAGAAAGATACCTGCCTCAGAAAGGTGCTTCCTTCTCCTAATCCCCCCAGGCCCCACAGTTATTTTACCTCTCAGCCTCTCCCATAGCATCCATGCCCCTTGCCTGTCTATGTGTGCTCAATGCTGGAACAGCTTCACTGTGTGCTCAGAAAACTTCTGGCCTGATCAGGAACCAGGGTGGGAGGGAGCAAGCCCTCCTTTGACGATTTGCTTTTCAGAGCTCACTGCTGAGCTCTGCAATTAGTCCATTCAGGCACCCAAAATCATTTCCATTCCACAATCCAACATTTATAAACTAATTGTGCTACAGCTCTAAGCAAAGTACGTTCAGAATTAGTGACTTACAAACAAACAAACAAACGATCAACAACAGGCTTAAGGATCACATTCAGCCCATGTTTTGCCAACGGATGCTTGCTCTCCTCAGCCAGACTGCTGCACAGTTATAAAAAAATAAACCCCAGCTTGCTGAAAAATGCACAGAGCAGGATCTGTGTGTGGGCTTTTCTTTCTGGTTGTGGGCAGCCAGACACCTGAAGCCTCTTGCAGCAGAGCCAGGGGCTTTTGCTCACTGAGCCATGACCAGACTGCGGGTGCCCAGTCTCTTTAGGACAGGGACGATGCCCATCTCTTTGCTAGATATCCAGAATGCTTTTGGAGATGGATTTAAGCACACAAACAGCCTTCCCCTGCAGTTATTAGCCTCGCAAGTGGCTTTCATGACAGCTGGAGGGTGCAGGTAACCCACAATGCTCAGGCTGTTTCCAAGAAGGATGTCTCATCTGCCTGACCGTTCCCCAGGGCTCAGCCCCCATGGGGCGAAGGCCAACATCAAAGGCAGTATTGACCTCCTGGGATTGCCTAGGGCACCTTCTCTGCAAGCCAGCCACCTCTGTTCTGCCAATCCACCAACACAATGCACAGAAAAGCAGGCAGAGCTCAGGCTGTTGTAATCACCTACTGCTCAGGACTGGCCAGGCATTCTGAATATCCGATGTTGCATCAACACTGGCAATGCCTCAGCAGCTCTGGAGGTGCAAGAAATGTAGCCCAGCACATCACGTGCAAGGAAAGAGCCAGTTTTGTATACCAGGCCCCGCATGTCTAAGGCTGGGCTGGCGTCAGTCTATCACTGCTGGCATGCAGTTGGCCCAGGAGTCGGCCAGGAGCTCCCTGCAGGGCACAGCTTCCCCAGCAGCCCAGCCGTTGGCATCATTTACCTGGTTGTGGTCAGGCTCCTGCCGCATTTGAGCTAATCGCTCAACATCTTGCTTGAACTGCACCTTCTCCCTCTCCAGCTGCTTCTGCGCTGCGCGAAGCCTCTCCAGGTCGAGCTGGTAGGAAGCCTTCTTCACCTGCAGCTCCTCTCGCTCCCGCTCAAGATCCTGCCAACCTCTCTGGACCTGCTCCTCTCGCTGGGCCAGGTGGGCCTCCTGCTCCGCCAGCTCCTTCTCACGGACTTCCCACTCCTTCTCTCTCCTCCGCCTCTCCTCCTGGTGCTGTGTCTGCTGCTTCTTCAGGTTGGCCAACTCCTGGCGCTGCTTCTCCAGGTTGCGCTGCTTCTCCTGCTCCAGCAGTGAGGTCGGCCGGAAGAAGCTTCGGGTCAGAGCCCTCTCACTCAGAGCCAGCTTCTGGTCCTCAATGTAGGTGTCCTGCTGCAGCACAACACCCTAGGAGAGAGGGGACAAAAATCACTGCAGCGCCCTCTCCATGGAGAGAGGCTCCATGCCTGAAAACCTCAGAGTGCTGTATTGAAATCGAACCCTTTCTTCTCCCACCAAATTCACAGCTCACTACTGCTGCCTTACGGCTCGGCTACCAGAGGATGCTGGCAGAGCATCTTCCCCAGCAGCTTCCCAAATTCAGGTGAGCACTGGTTCAGTTAGGCAGCAGCTCCTTCCTATGACCTGCCAGCATGCTGCCTGCAAGCCGGCCGTGGGGTATTCAGCCTTGCAGGGATGTGACAGGCAAAGGGGAAGGGGAGATGAGGGGGCGAAGGATGAGGGGCTGTTACTGGCTGGCAGGATGCAGAGTTCAGGTAAGCAGCATGCAAAAGTAGGATGAATGGCCAAGCCTACCTGCAAAGCACTGAGCAGCTTATGGAGGCTGGTAATGGTTTGGAGGACCTGCTGCGAGAAAACAAAAGCGTTGCTATTAGATCTCACTGGGTGCCAGGGTACACTTTAAGCACCCTCCTTTTCCACTGTGACCCACCGGTGGGTCTGACAAGCTGTACGGCCATCCCTCTACACCTTTGTTTTTCTTGCTTTTCACTTGAAATGACTGCATCATCCCCCAGTACACAAATACATCCCTTGGACACCTCTCAAAGGTGCCTGGCATCATATTCCTCACTTTCCTCGCCATCAGTGTGGCAGGGGAGGAAATGTCTGCAGAAGCACCGAACGGCACAGACCTCATGGGAACTCCCAAGTTGTCCCTGCAAACAATTTCCCACAGCATCAGCTTGCTCAAGAACAAGCAGAGTAATTGGCATGAAACGCAGCAGTTCACTATAAAATTTCAGAGAAAGAACTTCAATGGGTGAAAAAAGAAGAAATCTTAAAATGAATGTGGACTATTTGTACTCTTCCACCCCTGGCTGACCCATACAAGTCCCACTGTCATTAGACAGAAAAACTGCAATACAGCAGGCATGTTTCATGGAGGCTCTCTGAAAATACAGGTAAATGCGAACACATCATGCAGCAATACAGAGCAAGTTACTTTGAAGTGATACCCTATCCCTAAATGTATTTTTAGCCTAGCTAAAAATTCCTCCGAGTTTCCCATATCCTACAATTACTTTTAAGAAGAAAAACCACTGCAGTATTTGCAACAGTGGTGTGATAGCCAGTATTAAGAGAACTGCTTCTCATTCTGCCATTAATGCTAATTGGGAGTTATGAATGTGTATCAAAGGGAGAATAGAAATCTAATTGCCCCAATTCATTGCACCTGCAACATAAAATTAAACTCCCTCTGTCTGCAGATGCACAATAAATACAGCCCTGTGCATCCTAGTGGTAATTAACCCTTGCTGCCTATAATCAGCACATATCATCCTGCTGGCAAGCAGATGACAATCAGTGAATTCCCTGCCTGAGCATCCAAGGTTAAACAAATAGATGACACAGTTGGTTCAGCTTAATGTATTTAAAAGTCTACATGCACTTCAGCAAATAAAATGTATTTTCTTCTACATTATCACCTATTGAGCCAAATTCACTTGCCACTTAAATGAAGGAAACAGCAGAGCAACGGAATCAATTCTTACCTCGTTATTCCTTTTCAACATGAACATCAGATTAGCATTTCCACCCTATGAAAAGATCACAGATTTAATATGAGGACAAATGAGAAATCACAGCAAATGTGTTCTGAAGCTGAACTAATGGCAGACACATTAAGCCCCCCTCCATCTTCCATTCTGAGAGAATTCATGCATGTTTTTTAGGTAAGTTAAAATCATATAAAATAAAATGTTGATTAGGTATCATTTTGTATTTATAAGATGGATTGATCCACAGCAAGAATAGGTGCAAGATTATAGTTGACCTTATCATTTCAATAACAATGCATAATTAAACACATGCTTTAGCTGATATGCAGACAGATGGCAGGTTAGCTGTGCCACAAAGAAATACTACTGATTTGCAAGGGTTTTCAGGTCAGGATTTTAGCTACAGCAAAGTGTTTTTGGCTGCATAATTCCAATTTTATTTTTAACTTATTAGGATACATCTAATTATCAAAAAAATCAGGCTTTTTTCAAGACTAGAATTGTCACTTTCTTGAAATCTGAACTCAGTGGCAGCAGAGAGATAAACCAAGTGATACCTTCTTTAAAATGCTGTCTGACTCTGTTCTCCGAAGGTCCTGAGCATCATCGCCTTCATCTTTTGCTCCACCTAAAGGAAGAAGCCAGCATTGACACTGGTTATTCAACATTTTAAGCCATGGATGAACTTGCTAATGTCTGAGAAATTTAATACAGCAAACTCAGATGTTTCACAAAAGGGGACACACAGCTCTTCACACTTTAAAAGCATTTGCTCCCTACGTATACAGAACATGTCGGCACCACCAGAAAAAGTGGATGTGAATTCAGATTAGGATTGACTTTGGTTTCAGACAACATGCTGATAAATTCAGCGCACTCCTATTAATTGGTGCTCTGTCTAGTCCCCGCACTGCTGTCTACCACCAAAGAATACTTGCTAAGAAGACATGAGAGAGAATAAGAGCAGATGGAGAACAATAACAGTATCATATTAGGCTATATTATTGCAGGTATGGTTTCAATGCCTCTCTTGTGCAAGTGCAATTTACAGCTGGGTCAGATACTGCTGCGCAATACCCTGTGTAATATTATGCTGACAATTTATCCCTGACCTTAGTTATCAGAAACCTGTATCTTCAAAGGGACACTGGACTTCTCTTTCTAACTTCCCCCTGGATGGCTCACATCAGTGCTCCTGAGCAGGACTGAACTGACCTGTTGTGCCAAGACGGCTGCACCCCTCCACCTGCACTGCCCTTCTGCTCGCGGGCGGCAAAGGAGTCGCACAGCTCTTCGGTCCTCTAGCTCTTGCCAAGACTCTTGCACTCCCCTTGCCAGCTGAGATGCAGCCCATGGGGAAAACCCACACCTGCAATGGTAACCTCCCTACTGCCGCTCTTTTAACGATAAACAACTTTACATACACCTGTATCTGCAGCAAGATGAAGGACACCGTACCTAGTGCAAAGGGCAGAGGGCAAAGGCCCTCTCCTCCCACCACCCCCCAGGCAGGCTTTGCTATTAAAGGCTGACCCTCAAGTCCTCCTAACAGACCTTCTCTCCTGCGCCACGTCCTGGGACCTTCCACCTCTTTGCAGGAGGAAACACCTCCCTTCTGCTTTACTGGCGGGGAGAATGAAGGGGAGTCAGGTTATAAGCCTTGCCCAAGGTTCCACAGGTTGTGAACAGAAGAACTGGAGATGAAAGCCAGGTTTCACGCCTCCCGGCCTCCAGCTGAACAAACAGGCCCTGCATTCTTTTCCCAAATTCTCCCAAGACCCTACAACTATTGAATTACAATCTAATTCAAAAGATGGCATTTCTACAGAAAACCTAGAGCTGGGCAATGCACAACCTGAAGTTGTCCCATTCATCACTACAACAGAGAGAGGCCCAACCCTAAACAAACCCCTCCAGTGTGAATATATTTGTCATTATGATGACAAGGCCTGTGGAGGGCTTTGCAGCTTTCCAGTAGAGCTGGGAAAACCTCTACATACTTCTCATGTCTGACTGTCTGCAGCTAACACTGCTCCTTTAATGCAGAAGGTCAGACGAGGTCCAACGATCCCAATGTGGAGACAGACACTAGCGCAGCAAAACTAGCTGTATTGGGAGTATGAATGAGACCACATAGAAAGGAATTTGAGGACAGGGAAGTTTCTGATGACTAGAGCAAAGAAAGAGAGCATTGGGAAGCAGCCAACTATGCAGCTGAAATAAATATTCACACATTTCTTTGGGAGAGACTTAATTGCAGGAATAACACATGCAGTTGTATGTAGAACACAAATGCATAGAGAGCAGAGCTGGGGAGAAGGTGCTTGATTCAGCAATATCCTCATCCATTCACAAATGCAACAGCACCAAGCTCCTACTGGAAGACAACTGAAGAACAAAGAACAGAGCTGCAGATATTACAATAATAACATGAAGAAACTAATTTATTAAGAAGCCAAATGCTTTCATGAGGCACATAAGTAAAGGAGTAAGGATGATGCAGAGAGAGCACAGAGAGAAAGGAGTGAGGAGTTCAGATGTTTAATCCTGATGTAGTCACAGGTTCTCAGCTATCATCATTCCACCTGTACATAGGCTTTTTTTCTAATCTGCTATTTAATCTATCAGCTATAACTGGTGAGGAGTTGGGAAACTCAAGTCACCAGCTGCTGGAGTCCTTCTGAAGCAAGAGGACGACATATATTGTTAACAAATGCTGATGTGGACACATGTAGCTACTCACACTTGGAAGCGTTCATCTGATGACTGTCAAATCCTCCAAAAGTTTCTGCCCTTCTAGGAAGAGAAATGGGGCCAACTCCTCCTTCTGGTTCCACGGCAGTGCTGCTGACCTGCTGTCCGAGGGCAGTGCCCAGGCTTCTGTTCACCAGGTCTTGCAGCAGTTCAACTGATAAAAAGCAATGGTATCTCTGTTAAAGACCACCTCAGGCTTCTGAGCTCTTTTCATCCCTGTTTGAGCTCAGGTCAGAAACTCACATGCTTTGCTGTAATATGAAACCATGTTTCTATGACAATGACATGAACAGTACGCATTCCCCCTACAAAAACTCAAGTCTGCCTGACCATTAACTCCAATTCCTGGAGCTCTGCACAGGCTTACGCTTCCCTCTCTTCCTCCAGGCAACCCTGGTGTGCTCCAACAACAGCATTTAATAATTATTTAGCCTCTTCAAAAATCACACCAGAAAGTTGCCTGAGTTTCCATCCATCCTTGCCTTTGTCAACAGACTTGCTTGTCCCTTGCAGGAACCACAAGCGCCTGCTGGAACCCGCGCCCCGCTCTCACACCTTGCTGAGACTGAAGCACAGCAAAAGCCTGGATGGTCCAAATTTAAGCCAAGGATAAATCCTGTGCTGCTCCTGACCCCAGTGAAGATTCAATGCATGGTTGTTCTCTGTGCTGACTTCTTTTCTCCCCTCTTTCAACAGCCATCAATATCTGCTTCCTTTCCTGATTCTCGTTACCTATCCCTGAGACAATACCGTGAGTAGCAATATCTCCTTATCTATCCTGTTATTCTGACAGAGAGAAAACTTCCCCTGCAAAACTGGTGCTTGAGGACTGATGGCTTCACTGAAGGTGGGTCCGTTGGTAAGTGTAATTAATGTGTCACCCTGACTTGCTCACCTTCATTTATTGCAGTTTTCATAATGGCCTCTCCTTTTGGTGCCTCTTCTGTGTTTGCTCTGAAGAGCAGCCTGGAGCCTGGCATGTCCTCCTGCACAGAACTGTCTGCCATGTCCCGGAAGATCTTAGCCTTCTCCTCCAGCAAGAGGAGAATCTGCTTATCCTTCTGCTGAAGTTGTTCTGTGGGAGTGAACAGAAAACAGAGATGAAGACAGATAATAAAAGCTTCAGCAAGGAAACTGAGCGATACCTGAGATATTGGCCCCATCTAGTGGAACCTGACAATACAACCGTGCCCTGTGCAATCCTGCACAGCAACTGCACTCAGCAGGCTCAGAAAAAAAATAATGCAAGCAAGGTGAGGTGCAAACAAGGATTGCAATTATTTGCTGGATGCAGGATTCTCATTCCTTTGAAAAAAGTCATAGTTCAACCACAAAACCCAACACAATTCCTGTAAATTTTTCAAAAGCTGCTCCCCAGCTCTGTCCCAGGCAGGATTTTACCTTTCAGTCCTCTCACTCTGGCATCCGACACTTTCTTTTCAAACTCAGACTCACACGGGACTCCTTCGTCTTCATCCTTATCCCTGGACAAAAGACAAGTCTCAGTTACTACCAGAACATGACCATGCGGATCAACCTGCCTTGCAAGAACAGCCTGGTAGCTTACATGGTGTTCATTGTGTCTTGAATGATCTGTATCCAGCCATTACGCTCTTCTTTGGAGCTAGCATGGACTTCCACCATTTCGGGATCTTTTACACCCATACTGATCAGAAACAAACCCTTCTCTTCATGAGCCACTTCTCGTACGATCAACTTCTTCAGAGAGATCACAGTGGATTTCTGGTCCTTCAGATGGAAAGAAAAGGGTGAGGAGGGTGAACAGTACTAGCTCCCAGATGCAAACTAGCACGGAAAAGGTCCCAACAATCATATTGCTATTTCTCGCAGCTTGTAAACATTTTCTGAACCTCTTGGCTAATTAAAAAAATAAATCATTTTAATGGGTTCAAAGAACAGGGAAGCGCTTGCTTTCCTCCATCAGTTCTGTAGGAAAAGCAATTTCACCTTGTTCCATTTCAATAAAAAATTAATTTAAAATTGTCTTTGTACTTTTGCAAACTCTACCATATTTTGCTCTAACTCCAGCAGACCTTTAATCTCATCTCATCCTGCTCACATGCTCTCTGTCATTAATATCACAGCTCCTTAAACTTAGTGCAGCTTGCTAGCGCCTGCTTCACACACATTATCTTCACAATCCCTCCCTCAGGTGGAGTAACATCTTGTTTTCAAATCCCACAAAACCCCTGCTGTTCTCAGCAGCTCATAGCTGAATCCTGTGATGGAGAAGACTTGTAAGATGATGTTCACTGTGTGCTATGATCTCTGTGTAATCAGCCTGCTTGGTGAAAACATCCCTTTGCTGTCGTGTCATCTGAATACAAGTCAGCCCCTTAGTGCATTTTACAGGATGCTACAACTGGGGTGATTTGGTAGTGGTTCACTATCAGGATTTGTGTGCAAATCAGCTCCCACTGTGTAAGGCATTGAGTCTGTGCAGATCGTTGGTGGAACTGGAATAACAAATTATCCGCTTTCAAAATGTTCAAAGAGCGGAAAGGTCACAAGGTTTAGCCAGTCTAGACCATGCCTGCAAGGTACAGCCCCAACAGACTCAATTAGGTACTAGGTTTTCTTTAGAAGGTCAGTGTGCCTAGCCCTTTTATGAGGCCTGCCTTCAAAAGCTAATATTTTTGGTCTTGTGCATTACAAATACATTTCCTCTGACATTTATTTTCAAGCTGTTCTGTTGAATTTACTGCAGTGGCATTTCACCCCTCTGCCCCCCACAGTAGCTCAGAACATACTGGGACATTTCCTTCTGCTAAGATTCATTTTTACAATGTTTGCATTATCCCATTGCCCCCTCCCACCCCAAATACTGGTTGGAATTGCAGAAACTGAAAAGCAGTAAGTGTATCCAGTGACAGGCAGGTTTTCAAGGCCAATTATCAGCTGTGACAAGACACTGCAGAAAGGGGAGGTGGGGCATGAAGAAATGTTTTCCTATCAAAAAGAATGGAGTCTGCTCAGCAAACAAAAATGTTATAAGCGAGAAAATTAAGTTGTTTAGCAGGCAATGGCTGGCTTCACTACACAACATACATCAAGGGTCTCTTGCATAGAAAAGGAAGGAATAGAAAATGTTGAAGCCTTACCAGTGAGGCAAAGACATACTTCTGGTCCTTCTCCTGAAGGAATACGAGCATGTCAGAGAGAAGAACAGCCTGGACTTCTGCAAACGAAAAAGCATACCAGTGCAGTATAACCACATGACCCACCCCAAAACAGATTTCTTTTAATAACACCAGTGCTGCGCAGCAGTAGGGCTGTTTTTGCCAATCCTGGAAGCAGGGTCAACCTCCCAGTTAGCAGAAGGAGCAGGGGCAGCTCCTGGAGATGCCAGGTCAGGTTACATCTGAACTGATTTTGCGACAAGCAGAACACAACAGCACCTGGGAAACCTGCAGGATTTTCTCTCACCTGTCAGAGCAGGGATGCTCCTCTCCAGCCACATGCTTTCTAACAGTTAGGACATGGGCGTAACAGCAAAAGCTAGAGATGCTTACTGAATAGAAGCGCTGTTTTCTCAAACAATATTGTAGCCCTCAAGCAAAATATCTGCACAGGAAGTTTTGGGTTTTATGGTTCTCTTGATGAGTGGTTTGCGGAGTGCAAATTATCGTGCAATAACAATATTTGTCAGCTGCAGTTTCTTTCCCAGGAAATACTGACTTCAGGAGCCACGACTAATTCTACTCGCAGACAAACACAACTCTTGCAGACTCCAAAGGGAGCCGACAGAGCCTGCATGAGATGCAGGACCTGTCTGTCTTTCGCGGGAGAAGGAAGCACAACATCAAACCAACAGAGGATTTTAAATCAGAATACGACCTTTTCCCTGAGTACATGTACAGCCTTCCAAGTCTCCTAACGACATATCATAAAGTTGCACAGCAACTACCAAGTATAATGCCCCACCCAGAGCCCTCAGTACAAAGAGGTTTTGTGTAATGTACTTGGGAAATCTTGTGACAGAGAGGAAGCAAACCAGAAAGTTAAATCATCCTGTGGGTAATTCCTTCCATTCTGTTTCGGGAAGACAGGATCTGTTCCAGATAAAAGAACCACCAAACTTTAGTCAAAGCTGCAAAATGAACTCCAAGCTCTGTGAGGTTTTCAAAATTCAGCATTTGACTCCATTCTTCTCTTATTGTCTGTGCACTTTGCAAGAGGGAAATGCTGAAACCCTCTAAGAAAAGTTAGCCTGAATGTATGAACTAGCTACTTTTTCCCTGGGCTCTGTGCAGGACCTACTTTCGCTGGGAGCTTGCACTACAGACAGAGGTATGTTTATGCATTTCCGTGAGTTAGAAATGCAAATGCAACCTGTACTTATCACAAGATTTTACAGCAGCAGCATAACTTGCTTAATCCACCATCTAAAGTCAACAGTAATCTCAGGTGCCTAGAAACCATCTGTAAACTTCCTGTTTCCAAAACCTCAAATCATAACCAATACAGAGTTTCATGTTATCACTGCCTCCCTGCACAGCACGGCACCAGGCTACCAGTCCCCATTCATGCCCATGGTTTAATCAGCCGATGCTGGAGTGAGAGAAGGAAAGCCCAGCCTTCCTGCCAAGCCTGAGACACAGTCCTGCCTGCTCTCACTGCTACCATGGCCCCAGCTGAAGGCTTCCTTGGGAGATTTAGTGTTTAATTCAGTAGAGAACTTCAGTGCTCAGCAGAGCACAGCACCTTAGAAAAACTACTTCCACCTGATAACAAACAAAAAGCAATTCAAGAAAACACTGATGAAACAAGAGGCAGCTGCAGGGACACCAGAGCCTCTCCTGAACAGTTTGCATCAGCAGCTCAAGAGGTTCAAGAGCAACTGTCTTTGTTTTGACTGGGATAGAGTTAATTTTCTTCCTGGTACAGTGCTGTGTTTTGGATTTAGTATGAGAATAATGTTGATAACACGCTGACATTTTAGTTGTTAAGTAGTGCTTATCCTAAGTCAAGGACTTTTCAGTTTCCCATGCTCTGACAGTGAGGAGGTGCACAAGAAGCTGGGAGGGACCATGGCCAGGACAGCTGATTCGAACTAGCCAAAGGGATATGCCATACCACAGGATGTTGTGCTCAGTATAGAAACTGGAGGGAGTTGGCCTGGAGGGGCCGATCGTTACTTGGAGACTGGCTGGGCATCGGTCAGCGGGTGGTGAGCAACTGCATTGTGCATCACTTGTCTTTCTTGGGTTTTATTTCTCTCTCTTTTGATCTCCCTTTTCATTATTATTATTATATTTTATTTTATTTCAATTATTAAACTGTTGTTATCTCAAGCCATGAGTTTTATTTTTTTCCCCAATTCTCCTCCCCAGCCCACTGGGAGGGGGAGGAATGAGTGAGAGCGTCGTGCTTAGTTACCAGCTGGGGTTAAACTACAACAGCAACAAATGCCTAGGACACCTCTCTGGATTCCCATTGAAACTGGGATGGTAATGCTGAGCCTGAGCAGCCCTACTGCAGACCTTAGAACAAAGAAAAGGCAGTGCTGCTGGTGGGGAGAGCCACTGAGCAGCTGAGGTTGGGTTTTGGATGTAGCAAGCATGCTTCCTGGAACTGCTGCACATGCTCATCATGGCATGGAGATCTGACTCGCTTCTCTGGACAACTGCAACCCCATTGTGTTCTCCTGGCCCAAAGAATCCCCCAGCAACTCCGCTTTGTGGCTGATGGACCGAGGCGTCACTACAGCCCAAGCCTTCAGCAGGCATGCAGTCACCAGGAGGAAAAGCAGCTATCTATCACCCCAGAAACAACATGAGGAATTGGAAATGCCGCAATGGGAAGCAAGTCTACAGCACAGGGAAAGCTGCTGTCAAAATCTCTCAAAGCCAAAGAATAAATAAAGGCTAAACACACCAACCTGAGGACTAATCCTACATCCAGAGAGGGTGAGCTGTATCCTCCCCTGGCAGAAGACAGGATAGTCTTACCTTTTAACCGGCCAGCTGCATTTTTTAGTGAAACAGGCCCATCTCGGATGAGCTTGCGATGCCTCAAGTCCTCTCTTGCAAACATCTGGCCACTCTTCATCCTCATTATGGACTTGCTATCTGTCCGGTTGTAAATCTCACCAAGACGCATTTTCTTTTCGTAATTGCTGACTTTGCTATTGACTGCAGCAATCACATCTTTAACGAGGTTTAATGACTGAGTCAAGTCTTCATGTTCCACTTCATTTTCTTTGAACAGAAAGAGAAACACCTCGATTTCACTTCATCCTTGTGGACTCTAACTTCCTGATTTTACTTCCTTCCTTCCTCTTCTCCCTCTCAAATTCCCGCATTAAAACTTTTGAATACTTTCATGAGACAGGCTGCATTTTTCCCCCTTAAGGAGAGTTTCACAAAACCTTTCACGTTTATGGTTGAGGTTGGGGACTATTCCAATATACTTTGTATATGAGACAGTATAGACAAAAGGCACAAATTAACCACATATTTCAGCCATTACGAAAGAAAGCAAGCTGGGAGATTTTGAGGTCTAAGCTTGTTGCTCCATAATTAGCTACAGACAGACTTAAAACAACTAAATCAAGGCACCCGACTAACTAATCCTAAATGGAGATATGAAACTGAGTTATCTTGTTAACAATGGTGTGAGACAATGACGACTGGATTAGTTGGTCTATTCTAAGAAACTCTGCTTCAGCTGAAAAGGATCCAAGAAATTTACACTGGAGGAACAAATACACATTTAGAATAGAGCTGGTCCCTACCTTTGGTGTACTGCAGTATCCTTTGTAAAAGGACTGGGTACTTTGTGATTCTCTGTGTTACCAACAAGATACATTCAGAAATCCCAAGACGTCTCACCAGGGAGCTGCTCATTTTTTTCTAAGGAACAAAGATGAAAATTCCAGTTCTGTAGCAAAATGCTCATCAGAGTGCAGAAAGGACATACTTTTCCCATCAACTATGTCTGTTCTACCTGTTCCTACCTTGACAAATGCCTGAAACCGCTTGTCCTTTGAGTACAGATCTTTGAAGTTATTTACTGCCTCATTGTGATGCCCGCAGAATTTGCCGTATGTTTTCTTCATTCGCTCGGCACTCTCACCGGAGAACTGCAACACATGAGACACAGAGGTCCAATTTGCACTGAGCTCCTGCTGCGATATCCCAGCAATGCCTGCCAGTCTCTCAAAAGAACTTGATGAAACCAAATTAGCCCAAAGCATCCTAAATCAAGCAAGTAAATCTCTAGAAAGTAAACAGCCGAGTTTGGGACTTCGTTGAGTTCACACTAACTGCAAAACTTGGGATTCTACTCACAGGGCTTAAAAGCCAACAAAAAACCCGTCAAGACAGACAAAAAGAAGAAAGGAGAAAGCACAGATAAAGGAAAGTAAAATAACCCACCCAAAGTTAAACAGCAGGTCAGTAACTCAGCCAAGAAACACATTGGGCATATTTTGCTGTGGGCTACTGCCTACCCTCCAGGCGATGGTCAAACCATTCTGTGCCCGTCAGGGAATGCTTCTCTTTCCCACAAAATAAACTAAATTAATTTTCATCATTAGACCTTCCTCTGAAAGAGCAAAAAGTGCTTCAAAAAGCAGAGGTGGAGATTTCTACATGTGTGAAGATAAAGGTGCCATCAACTGTGATTATCTAACAGGAATAAACAGGAGGGAAGAAAGAGTGCCTGGTTTCCAGCTGTGCTCTCAGAAGTGCAAGCATTTTCCAGCGCTTACTTGATTCACTAGGACGTCACCTATCCTCTTGATAACAAAGTTCTTTTCACTTTTGTCTGCCAATGACTCCTTCTTCCTTTCCAGAATCCGCTGGAAGAAGTGACTGTGGATGTGCAGCAAGTTTTCCAGGCAGGGAAAGATCTTGTCCACGACTTGTTGATCATACTGCAGTTCCTTTAACATCCCTGCACTGTACACATCATTCATGATCTTCAGGGTGCGGACATGATGCATTTCTGTCTGCATTAGCTCTGTATAGGATGCGAATAAGGTCAAAACCAAGGTCACTAGAGTACATAGGTGTACAGTATAAGGAAAAACTGCCATTAGAAAGCTCTTCCATAACTGGGTTTCTCTTAAGTGGCTTCAGAAAATTTCATGTCAGGTATTGAAACATCACTCAATAGTTTCACATGTGGGAGAAATAGGGGGGCAGAGGAGTCCCACAATAAAGAGCTTTGGACAGTGCTGCTAAGGTCTGAACCTTCAGCACTGTTATCTGCTCCTTCCTAACACCTCACTGCCAGCCTCAACACAGTGCGCTTTTGCCATACAGGATGGCTCTTGCATCCGGCAGGAGAAGACTTCCTAGCTAGCTGCTCTGCTGTAATGGAGTTTAAATGTCATCAGCAGGCAAATGAGGAGAGACTGGGTTTTTTTGATGGCTTCCAGATATGTGAAATGCAGAAAGAAAGCTTTCACAAAATACACAACATTTCTAAGAACTTCAAGGGTGAAACTTTGGTTTCTGAGAAAATCAAGTCAGTGTTCCTACTCACTGACCTAAAGCTTCCTAAATCCATGCATGTGAGTATATCAAGAAGCTATCTATAATGAGTGAAAAATTAAGATGCAGGTATCTCACCGTAAATGACATCTTGCCGTTTGACAACATCTTTGTTTTGCTGCTGTAGGAACTTGCTGTCCACTACTTGGCTCCAGGACTCTGCCTCCAGCTGCTTGGAATCTAATTCCAGGTCTCCCATCAGCTGTCCTTCATTCATGTCCGCACCTTCACAAAGCAATGTAAGTGCCATTAAGAAGTGGGTAACTTGTCTCATTTGAGATTCCTGTCTATTCATTTAGGTTTAGGCTTTCTCTGTCATACCACAAACATCACACACAAACTCCTTTACTGACACAAAAATGGTCATATGGAATTATACCACGTAAGGACCAGGTTATGAAAAGTGCTTTTAAAGGTTATTTGCTAGTTGCACAAAACTAATTCATCATTTTCACATAGACCAAATTCTAGCTCAGATAAAAGACAACAGATTCTTTTATCTGCAATGCAACAGTATCGAAGACAAATAAAAACCCACAACACCCAGTTGGTCTTCCTTCATCTACACCACTGAATCGAGGGAGCTTAGACCTATGTGAAGTCTGTGTTTTCAAGCTTAGAAAGCCAGAATTGATGCAGGCAGAAGTGAACACTACATACGTTACAGACACACATATGCATCTTTAAGAAACATTCCTCATCTGTGCAGGAACTGGGAAATTTTCTCTTGTCACCATGAGCATGCCCTTGTTTAGTCCTTAATAAATTAAGACCATTCTGCTCTTTTCAGGTAAATATTGGCTAAGATGTAAAAATACTGATGATATCCTTAAAAAGCACCATATATAAAAAAAAATTTAAACTTAAGAAATGAATTTAACTGACTTCACTTTCAAACCCGCAAAACTAAACAATATGTTTCTTCCTTCCCCACTCTGGGAAAAACACAAAACACAAGACATCAGCATGAAAAAGGTGAAAGAGGGCAAAATCTGTGGCTGCATAAATGGGCCAGAGGTGCAGAATGAAAGAGAAAATGTTTGTCCCTGAGCTAAATTCCAAGTAACTCAGCTGTAACTGAAACCTTCTAAATGTTTTCCCACGACTCAACAAGCTACAGAAATTACTATCTGAGGCTTTGTTTTAGTTTATCATACTAATATTCTAAGATCAAAGTAAATGCATGTTAATTGTGTATTAGAAAGGAAAAGACTTGCTGAAATGCCAAAATGGACTTTCTGTTTCTGGAAGGCAACACTGAGACCTGCCTTTTGCTATAAATGCCATGGAGATCTCTTACCTTCGTCAACCAGTGACTCCATGGATTCATTCACCCGGCTGATTTTATGTAAGGAGTCTGTTGACTGCGACAGGAATTTCCAAGTGTGTATTAAGCTGTCATCGTTCCCAACTCTGCAGAAAACCAGAACACAGAATACTGTTTATGACATAAAAAAAGCAGCCAAATGTACTTTCAAATACACAGAAGAAATGCATTTTAAGTATGAACTGGAAACCAAAGCAAGCGTTGCAGTTATGTACAGAAATGTACTTTTATTAATTGTTGTCTGACAACTACCCATTGGGGCTCAGCAAGGTGTAAGATCTACAGTTCTGAGTAATGGTGCTTCTATAAAGAATCACACCTGAGGTTTTACGATTTGGATAACTCCATTTCATTCATTACTTTCCATTTTACAGTCGCGTCCCATCCTCATTGTCCTTGGTGCAAGCAGTGCAAAAATGCAACACAGAAGGCTATCCAAGAGTCTTTATCACTAGCTCTGAGAAAGAGCAGAAAAATGGACTGAAATAAATTTCACCACGAATAGCCAGGGCATACAAACTGTCCAGAACATGCCAGTCCATGCTGTTGCCCTGTGTGTAGAACTGCTCTATATGCAGGTAGTGTAGGAGCCATAAATTTGATTTTCTTCTATGATTTTTTGTAATTAATTATGTATAATGCAGTCCTAAAACACCATGAAACCTGCAGCTCTGTGCCTCCACCCTATCGTTGTGGACACAAAAGTTAATACTATACCTGAGCTGCAAACGTGTGCTTCCTCAGTACCCAGCCCAAGGCAAGGGATTTTCCTCCTGGAGCCCAGAGCACCTCTGTGAAGTGGCCTTGAACACAACCAGGACAACTCTGATGCCTCTGAACACATGCCATGACTAAACTAATCCACACAATCTGATTGTGCAGAAGACAACTAATGGTGTCATATAAAATATGAGTATTTCTGGTTTTGTGATCCTCTTTTGCACCTTTAACACAAATCATAGGTACATGAATTTATTTTTAATGAGATCTGAATTTCTCTATGCTTGCAGCGTCAGATAATACGCACATACTCACACGCACAGGGAGAAACCTTACCCTGCAATGTTCTGTATTGAGACACTTTTTGAAAGTGCTGTAGTCTGTTGTGATCTCCTGTTATTGAATATTGAGGTTACAGTGTTTTCATCAGGAGCAAGTATTGCAGAGCGAGGGCGCTCCTTCGGTTGTGAACCTGCAAGGGAAGTGTCAGAGAAAAGCCAGCTCATGCAACTGCACTGTTAACTGCGATGATGATGACTTAAAGAAACCAGGCTCTAAAATCACTTCCTCTTCTTTCTAGAGTTGTCACCAGGAGATCTCAGCTGTTAGAAACAGTCATACGAAGGAAAGAACATCGACCCCTGTGCAGAACTGACTGCATTGCACTACACTTAAAAGATATAGGTGGGATCTGTAAGTCCAGAAAAATACACTTGGGAAACTGAATTTAACTTTATTTGATAAATATGCACATGTAGCAATCTATTATGTTGCTTTTTAATTTCCCTGGGCCTATAATTATATACTGATTCTGGTCTAACTTTTTGAGATAGGTTTCTCTATCAGTACGTACCACAGAAAAATGCTAATCCATTATACTATCACTTACCTTTAACTAATCTTTTCATATTAATTCCAGATTTTTCCTTCTTCAGATGCATTTCTGCTTTCTGGAGTTTATACCTCTGAATTTCATCATAAATACCACAGTAGGTACATCTGTATCATACACTGTGATTTCATATAGTGATCTCCAAGCTATCACTAAATAAGCTTATCAAATCATGGCACTACAAAACCCATGTGGGCTATTACACTCCTGTTCTTTGCCCTTGGTCACACTGGGTAGCTCTGCAGTGCAGCGTATGTCTCGGCGCAGCCAGGAAAAGTTTGTCACTATTGCTCCTATTCCAAATTAAACTTTCTGTTTTCACTACCTTGAAGCATAAGACTATTTAATTAAAAAAAAAAAAAAGTATTTCAAACAAGCATTCTTTCCACTTGTAATCTTAACAATTTCTGTTAATATAATACAGTTGGATTCTTTCCAATATCACACACCCACAGACACCCGCTGCATCTTCCAGATTTTGTGGACTTACCAGCTGCAGGCTTTCAGCAAGCTACAGCAGTCAAGTAGTTATTCTAAATCTGAGATTACTTTACATTTGCTTAAAGCTGCATGGACACTGCAGAAGTGGATGAACTCTGCGCCATTTCAGTACAACTTCTGAAGTTGTCAGAGAAAAGCCAGCTCATGCAACTGCACTGTTAACTGCGATGATGATGACTTAAAGAAACCAGGCTCTAAAATCACTTCCTTTTCTTTCTAGAGTCGTCACCACCCAAACATTGCTTATCACGCATAGAAGATGCTCTCATCCCTGCTTTGATAAATGCTTATCTTTCACAATATCAAATATTAGTTGTCAGAACAGTCAAGAACAGCAGATACAGACCATCACCAAAGCAGAGGGAAAGGAAGTTTTCTTACTTTTGTTTCTCATGGTTACTGTGGGTAATGAAGAGGTATCATGTGCCTGCAGCATCCCTCTCTGTGGCTGAAAGAAAAATGAAATTCACTGTAATTTCTTCCTCCCTTCTCCCATCAGGCTGTGCCACATAACTAAAATAAAAAAGCTATGTTTTTTCTGAATCCTCTCAGAACAGATCAGTTCTTGGCTGTATGTCTATTTTTTATATATATATATATATGCATGCATGCACGCACCCCCCACCCCTAGTTGCAATCAATGAAAGGGGCAAAATAAACAGATGGAGAAATGTGCCGCAAATAGGAAAATGAGATGAGAAAGTGCTGATGATACTGAAGAGAACTGAAAATCATAATTGTATAAACATTAACTAGCTTGGAGAACCATACTGCAGAAGAGGTTCCTCACATTTGGGGCAAGCATGAATTCTGCGCATTCCTCATATGAGCAACATACATATTTAATAGTTTTCATTATGCATTATATATACACATGATGCTGCATTACAGGATGCAGCATTTGAGAATTAAGAGATATAGCATTTAAGGGTGCTGGAAATCCCTGAATTTTGCCAGTGAAGTGTTTTTTTTTTTAATCAAAGCACAGGACAGATCATCTCACCATACGGTCCCTGTGTAATGCAGGGAACAATGCAGGGAATTTGCTGCCAACGAACACCCTGTGGCACTGACCTGGAGCACTCACAGAGTCCCAGGGACAACTATGTGTGGTTCTGGGGAATTTCAGGATAGCCCAGAGAATTTATTCACTATATAGCACAGGGGCTGAAATTCTTTCCAACAAGCTGGAAACATTGGGACATATGGTAGAAGACGTTATGTATCTGTATGCTAAATTATTTTAACTTTTGTGTTTATTCAGTAGAGTAGATGAAAACTCTTACCTTCATTTTGACCTTTGCACAAGAAGCAAAACTCTCCTTACAGCCTTTGTGAACAATTGCATTGCAGTCTGTCAAAAGTAAAAAACCCAACCAATTAAACACAAATCATGAATTATATTTTAAGAGTACATTACACTGTAAGCGTACAGTTCTGAATTATTTCTAGAAGAGACAAGAAAGGAAAAAAATTCCATGCCCAGAATGACAAAATATGCTCACATTCCTATAATTTCTTACACTTGGGCCTACTTAGTAAAAGCCAGTAATTCTTCTGATATTTTGAGAGAGGTAATGATAAGGCCATAGGGCGTTGCTATTCTGTTGATGTCGCACAATTTCCTGCGCAAGAAAGACAGAAGAAAGAAACCTGCATGTTCTTGCAAAAAACCCACAAGCAGTATCATTTTTCAGATCAAACAAGGAAGAGGGACAGAACCTGCTTCCGGTGCATGAAAAGAGGCAGTGAGACAATTCAGAACCATTAAATTCACGCTCAAGCCTTGGAAGCCTGGAGGCAGCTCTTTAGTATGTACCATTTAGCAATAGAGCATTTTGATTTTTTAGATCGAAAATCTGGTTTCAGGGACTTGATTCCTCCGATTCAACTCTTCAGCAGGAAGTTCCTCCAACTCCTCTGTATCACTAGTATGAATAATTAAAACCCCCAAAAGCTTATTTTCTGCATCACTGATCATAAAAAATAAAAAAGACCAGGCAGAAAGCTATTAAAAGTAAGGATTTTTTGCTTGCCCATTTGTTTTAGAGCATGCTAAATCTTTCAGCATTGACTAGCTGTTTCAGGAAGCTGGGAGCATCACTGAAAAGCTGAGACATTGATTTAAAATGATCCAGCACTTTAAAAGGCATTAAGAAAAGGTCATCCATAGGTGAGACAGAGCAGTGACGGTAGCAGGAAAGCACTGCCATTTCTGTAGGAAAAAAGTAGTCTATGACAGCACAGGAACAATAGAGCCTTTGCTGCTGGTTATCAGTCATTTCCAAGGCATTTGATGGCTGATTTTACGATGTGATGGGAGAAAGGACCACTCTCAGATGTGAGCTTACAACCTGGGTCCTGACCAAACTTTCCTTGTGGCATTCATTTTCTGGCCAATGCAGAAAACTTACAGTAATTTTCTAGTGTACCTTGTAAAACAAGGAAAAAAGGTCTATGCTAAAACATATGACATTGTTGGATTATTTTAACTCATTAGAATATAGAGAGTTAAATTGGGATATATTTGATTTTCTAAGTGGCTTCAGAAGCTGTTACGAAAGTTGAGTGGGGAAAGGGAAAGAATGCATTTGAGAGCTTGTAATTGTTGATATTTTCCATTTCCTATCAGGCTGACACAGAGCGTGTCTCGGGCAAACAACTTTGCTGAAATCTCTTCTCTTCCAGGAAACTCAAAACTGCCATTTGGGATTCAGCTGGCTGCTCCTTCCCCTGCTCACTGGAGATGTTTTATATGCTGCTCATCTACCAGAAGGAACAGAGACAGAGCCTCCTGCTCACGCCTGGGAGCAATTCCCGTACATGCTTCAACTCATCTCTAAGCTAGTGGAGTAAAAAATATTACTAATAGTGAGGAACAGAATGCCCTGAACTGCAGTGGGAAAAAGACTGCCTGTTCTGTAGCTTTGGGTTGCTGTGTAAACCAGCTACCATTCTGGTCTCGACCACACAAACACTGCTGACCTTAAAAAGCTACATGCTTCAGAAACCACCTGATAAGAAAAGAGAACAAAATCACCAGTCTCGCAGAAACCCTCTGCTGTGGTTCCTGTACTGCCTGCATTGTATTGCACGTACTTCACATCCACACAGGTAGCTGCCATTTGACCTGTGATGCAATGTCACATATAAAGAGAGAAGAGGGTTTGTATTTCCTTTTTATATCATGCTGTTCTCACTGAGGGCTCACCAAAGCAGTGTTTCAGAGAACTAAAGCAATCACTACAGATGGGTGAGACTTTTTTTCCCCAATGGAAATAAAGCCATGATCCAAGCCAGCTTTCCCCGTCCTCCATCCATCTTAACAAAGCACCTCAGACCCAAGCCATAACATGCAGCTGAAATAACCAAAGTACTCCAGCTAAGTGATACATGCCAACAAGCAGGGCAGAAAACCCCATGGGATGCTGAGATGTCCGAGCACAGGCTAGGAAGGAGGTTGCAGGACGTCTCCTTGCAGACACGACTCATTTCAGTCCAGCTTCCATAAGGCAACACGCTGCTCCGTGAATCACTATCTCCAAAGTCTCCCTCCCACCCCACATCCTTAAGCAAGAGGAAAATAAAGCATAAAGTTTGCATTTCCCATGTCAGATTTAATGAAAACCAAAAGGAAGGGGGGAAAAAAACCTGACTTACTTGCACAGTAGTACGAATCCTTATTGAAAGGTTTCATACAGTGGTAACAGGTTGCTTGGGCTACAACGGCGGTTGCAGTGAAGAGATGTCCATTTAACAGCTTCTTATCTTTTTCCTTCTCCTTGGAATCTTTGTCCTTCTCTTTAGTCTTCTCTTTATCTTTCTCTTTTTCCTGTCGAGAGAAAATGAACAAATGCCTCGTTACTTCGCAGAGGTCTATTCTCTAGTTACAAATTCTTCAGTGTTTGCCTTTGGCACTATGATGATATTGATCAACGCCCACCTTAACAATAGTCATGTATCTGCACATCAGCTTACAGCCCCCATGGATGTGTATTAACATACTATTGACTCGCAGTGCTACCTCACCAGTGGAGACAAAACTGAGTCTGTTCTGAAGGCAGCTATTTTGTTCCACCTTTGTTTTATAGTTGCTTGGTTTAATGACTTAACTCTTTTCTTCTTCTGGGCTCTTCAGCACTTTCAATGAATTGTGTTAAATACAAACACCTCGTTTAATGTGTATCAAACTTTCAACAGTTAATTTTTAAGGCCAACCCATATGACTTGAGCTTTGCAACTGCATTTTTAATGAAGAGCACAAGGTCTTCCTCAGTGCCTGTACAGCATCACTGCCAGAATATTTCCACCTTTGTTTTGCTTCTGACTAGCGACTTTTTCAACGGTTTCATGCAACCCCAAGTAACTATGTGAAGCTTTTTGGGGAAATGGATCTTTCACAAACTCTCGAAATACGGCACCACAGAAAGGCTGAGGAACAACAGCAACACCATAAAAGATTATCTCCTGAAGCCACAGTTCAACCTCTGGACTACTCAGCTTTAGTAAGATGACAAGCACAGCCACCTTCTCCAACTTTTAGCAGAGTTTTTGCTTACCTTTCTATTGCTACCCAAGATAGAAAATGCTAAATACAAAAATTTGAAACATTTTTCCCTGCAGCCTTTCATGGATTTGGAATTCTCCCAAACAATTTTTAAAGGAAACTCCATAAAAAACCCTCCAAATTTGAATTACAGTGACTCCTTGCCTTTCTATGCACTACCCTACAAAATGTTTACCATACAATTCAGCTCCAGATCTGTATTTTAACTGTTACTGCAGATTTCATGGCATCTGAAAGAGAAGCTTAACTAGAAATTGTAAAGACTTCTGTAGGCTTATCTTTGCATTTTGTTATTTATATGACATGTGCCCTTTACTAAGTATTGTCACAGCCTAAATATCAGAGAGCTGCAGAGCAGCCCAAGTGAGCAACTGCCATGAAGTGGTTAAAAGAGGTATTGAGCTCTGCACTCACTGGCAGGGAAACTTTTGAGCCTTTGATGACACACTCAAATAACTAGTAACTCAGTCTAAGGTCTCCCCTCTCCCAACACAACCCAGGCAAAATGCCAGCGTTGGAATCTCTCCCTGCAAAGCCTCACAAACAGAAAGTCTATTTACTAGCCCCAAACGCTATTTTGTTCTGCAAATAAGCAAAACCAGGAGCATTACCGTATGGAATAATCCCGTCTGAAGCAGAAAACCTGCCAGGAAGAGTCTGCTTTGCGGCACATTTCCGCCTCCTTTGAGCCATCAGCTTGGATGCCACCCCACATAAACCTCCACAGTCCTGTTCTCCACCTGCTGACCTGCCCACCTTTAACCATGCCCAGCCTGGCAGGATTCAAGAACTAAAACTCTGCAGTTTAGTCCTTGGCCGATCGTACCAAGTTGATGCCTGGAGTTTTGTTCTGTTGCTTATTGACTTGTGAAGCTCCAGGAGAAAAGATCACCCTATGCTCAAGGAAGATCTTGCAACTCTCACGCTTAACAAGCTGGAAGGAGACTTACTGTTCTATACTTCAAATGTACCTGGTGTTTACTGCAAAGCCCAGTATTTCTAAAGTCTGGAATAATACCCTGTCTTCATAAAAATCACTGTAAAAAAACCATTTTAATTAAAGCTAAACGACCCCAGGAAAAACAGGAAACGGGTGCACCACTTTCAAGGAGGAAACAGCAAGCTTCATAACCGGAATGCCAGCCATACCACTGAAATACAAGGTCTCAAAATGAGATTTTTTTTTTTTTTTTTCCTGTGACAGTTACTGGAACTTTTTTTTAGAAAAGGATTGTAAAAACAAAACCATTTTCCTGCACTGAGTTGCTGATGAGACTTGAAGCACAGCTTCACAGCTGAACCTGCACCGACATGCACTAAGAGTCAAGATGGGTACCGCAACTTGATCATATGTCCCAAAATAACAGACTGTGCGCTGCTGCAGCAGCAGATTCTGCTCTGAAATAACCATGAAGCTCTTACCTCCCAATGCTTAAGTCCTACTAGCTTCACTGTTATTTGAGGTACTTCGGCAAATTTATTCCATTTTATCGACATCCTTCCCCCAGGGGCAGGAGCTACTCCCCACCAGCATGGCCCATCGCGACGGCCAAGAGCTGCCAGCACAGCCGGCCCGGGGGACGGCAGTCAGAGACGAGTTGAGCAAAAGGGGGAGGGCGGGTTGATTGCTGCTAACTTCCTTGAAGATGATTTTCGTTACTTTGCTATTGCTTTCATCTTGCCCTACCCTAGCTTTCACCGCTAAAAAAAAAAAAAAAAAAAAACAAACAAAAAAAAACACAGGCAGGAAAGGATGGGATTAATATTTTAGAAGTCACAAGTCAATACGTGACCACCCATTTTAAAAGCAGAGGGTGGTAAATCAAACCCTCTGAGACGTTTGGGATACAGAAGAAGTGAATTTTAACATACCTCAGTGTTGCTAGGTAGTAATTCAGTAAACAAAGTGCTGCAGAAGATTTCCCAGACAGAAAGGTTTCACGTGTTTGCGCTCCTCCTGCTCTACAGGTCAGAAATATTCCCTGTCTCCTAGTCCTTTCAAACACTTACAACTCTTACTATAGACACTGAAACACTGTTGGTGGTATAGCACTGCCTAATAACTGCGCAAGTCAAGGAAAAAGAGAAATTACTCATGTTAATTTTTTTGTCGTCATTTCCCAGAAACTCACTACCAAAATGAAGAAAATGAGTATGGTTTTTTTCCAACTGCCAGAGATATAGCATGTTTTAGACTTCACAAATGTGAACCAATGCATGCTGCTGATTTCAAGAGATTCACTGACTAATCCCCAAATAACACAAAGTGCGTGCCAGACATGGGTAAATTCACACAAACTTCTATCAGTATCCCCTCCAGTTAATACTCCAAACACCCTTTATTTTTAGGGTTTTTTTTACATAACTGTTGACACCGTTTTCAAAAAGAGCCATTGCCATTAGTAGGCTCAGATGTGCTTTATTTTACGGTTCATCTTAGAAAACGGTGCATTTCTGAAGGTTTGGAGAAAAGCAGTATCTAGTTGGAAAGAAGTTGAAGCCTCTCTCCCTCCTGGCAGCCCAGACAGCAGCAGAAATCAACACTTCCTGTCGAACTTCCTCTTTCAAGGTTTGTTGTTTTTCTTATTAACTCTTACAGGTTTTCATCAGCCATAATGCTTCTGAGAAATCAGTGTTCCCAAGAATTTTTAGGTCAAATTATTTAAATGTACAGCGGAAGCCCTAAAAACGTATGTAATGCAAACATTCTACCGCGAGCAGAGAAGAAATTGTAATTTGAATATTATGGCTTTTGACTTAGTAAAAATATCAGAACTGATACGAGCTGCAATTCTTGTAGTACGTATTATTGTTGGGAATTTGGAGCAATTCTTTATCAACAGTTTCAGACACAATCATGAAATTAATGAAATCAGACTGCACTTATTTAACAAAAGCAGAGCAAATATCTCAAAGCACTTCTGTTATATTTTCTTATAGACTTTTGTCCCAACCAGATCTCAATCTCTCTCTCTTTCCAATTCTTGCTTTAGAGATTATACACCTGAAGTGCAAGAACCAGTTAATGAACTTCTAGTCTTGCTCACAGGCTTTGCAACATGCTCCACAACTTCGCGCTAGTGGTTTGCACTGATGTTTCTACATAAACAGGTTTTTTTGGGTTTGTTTTTTTTTTTTTTGACATTGTACTTTGCTGCAAGCAACCACATTGTCTTAAAGCTGCTCAGCAGCAGCTCTGAGACTCTGGTACTTGCAGCTTGCATCTTTAAAGGCAGATCCATAAAGAGGAACTGTGCGTTACGATGACTGATCTCACTACAGCTGGTACCTCATTGTGAAGGTGATGCAATTTTTCAAAAACGTGTATCAAAATGTGCATTGGACCATGAAAGCACACAAACCCAGCTATGTTAGAGGAACACTCAGGCTGAAACATCAAGTGCTTATGTTGGGAAAGGCTAAAATGAAGTTTGTTTGCACAGGTGTAACATGGCCCCTCCTATAATCTGTATGCTTCAGCTCAGCCTTATTCTGTGATAGGCACAATGCTTATTATGCCACATTTTGTTTCCTGTTTGCTATTCAGACACTCATCAGAATATGTAATTACGTGTCTCAGGGGCCTTCCAATAGTATTTACCAACATATTAGCTACACATGACCTAACTATAGAATACACATTGGCCACTGTGAGGTAAGGTGCTCTTAGCTTTTGTTAGACATGATAAACTGAGGTGACGTTCAAGTGAAAAATCCAACCAAGCCAAAAAACCCAAACATACATTAATCTTCAGGGGACAATCTGAGACAACAACAGCCCATTTGTGTGAAGTACTTAGCATTAATGTAATTATTTCTGTAACCAATGCTGTTCCCAGGAAATTCAGCTGTGCTGAGCAGCATTTAACCTTCATCAAATTAAATCCCAGTGTTTCAAGGATGGAAAAAAAGGGATAATATAAATATTGGACATCACTAAAGGTCACAGTTTGAGCAACTTCTCCAGCAGTGCACGGGAACTTTGTGGCAAAGGTAAAAATAAAAGGGAAACACAATACAGCCTTCAGCAGCCAGTCCCTTCTTAAGAGCTACTGTCTTCATTTTATTAAACACCTCTCAGGTTCTGTAAAAATTAGACCCATCAGTCACTGCAAAGCCATAACTCATGCCAGAGCACAATCTATTCTCTATAATAAATGAAGCTTCATTCTATGGGGAAAAGAGGCAAAACATTGCACAGGAAAACTCACCTCAGATGCATTTCAATTTTGGGGTGCTAAGATTTGCCATGTAGCTAATTCCCCGTTACCCCACAGACAATCCTCCCCGCGCAAAAGGAAGAAAGGAAGAAAAAAGAAAAGAAAGTCAGGCAAAGACATAAATACCACCCTATGGAAACACACTGAAATACAGAATTCCTTACTGCTTCTTATGGGTATTTCACAGACGTATAAATCACAAGAAGCACTTACTTTGCTCTTCTTGCTGCTGGACATTTTATTCCTGAGGTAGCTGAAGGTTCGACTGACTTTTGTTACACTTTTACCAGCAGGGACACTGCTGCTCTCTTCAGATATGCTAAAAGAAAAAAAATAATAAAAAAAAAGGTTGCTTTTATTTTTCTTTTTTTTCCCCCAAAGCATGTATTAATTGGATAGATTCTTTTTTAAAGGACAAATCCATTTATTATCCAATAGAGTCACGGGTTGCTTTATGGTGTTATACCAGAGAAGGCAAAGTGAAGACAAAACGCTAATCCAGTAGTTTGTCATGTATTTCTAGGAATCCTTTCATCTGTTTTTAAACAGTCTCCATTCTCAAGCCATGCCATAGCACCCTCTGCTGCTCCGGTGGCCAAATAACCACTAACCAGCTCGCAGCATCTGCCCATTTACACAGCCCACATTGCAGCTACAGTCAGTCTTGGCATTTAATCATTGATATTTCAGACAGAAAGGGATAGACACGCATGCATCCTTTAAAGAGAAATCTCCTTCCAGAGAAAGACATCTAATGAACTCTGAAAAGGCAGTGTCTTTAACAGAAACCACACTGTCTGCAAAGCCTCCCCTGAGAAATGAGAATACCAATACAAAGTAATGAACAGCAATTGTTATTTGTATTAATTTAGGCATTTCTGGGACACCAGTTATTTTCTGCCATCCTTTACATGCACAAGCTTATGACTTCTTCAGCTTCTATGGGAGAATAAGAAATTAGGGAGGAAAGTATGATTACATTAAAGGAAAGGACACAGTCTGTCTATAGGAAGTACAACGCAAACCAAAAGCGGAACGACAGAAAGACAAATGAAATAAAAGAGGACAAAACAGCAGCGAGCAGAGGTGAAGAGCCTCCCAGCCACAAAATAAAGCTGAAGCCCAGCTCCTTCAGTGCCACAAACGTCCTTCCTCCAGGAAAGCGCTTTTAAAGACAGCACCCACCGGAAAAATTATCTCCTCTCTACAGCTTGCAAGGATGAAAGGTAACGTACAACAACATGATTGTTTTGGCCTTCGTTACAGAAATATAGACATAATTAAAAGGGAGGAACAACTACTTTTAGTGTAGAATACAACTCAGGGTAAACTGATATGTTCGATAATAGATAAGCTGTTATGTTATTAGCTATGAATAAACACAAAGCCTGGTTAGAGAGAAGACCTAGAACAGGCTTTCATATTCTGTGATCTAAAATATTCTTCAGCCTTTAGACACACGGGGCTGATTTTCCCAAGCCTGACAACTTGTGATTTCAGCTGAAGTGCACTGTTGCCAGCAAGGCTTTTGGATGCCCAAACCAGAGCCCACTGCAGGAGTCCCACCAGAAGAGACGCGATACCCCCAGAATACCGTACCTCTGAACTGAGGAACCCGTGGGGCCGCTGAACGCCTGTGTACCTGGAAAAGATCAGAGGGGTGGGGAGGATGACATGTTAGACTGCAATCTTAGCCCACTGATTTTAAAAACACAGTTTGCATATTTGGACGGTTCAAGAGGAAGGGGAAATGTTTTCCAGAAGTCAGTGTTTAGAATAGATTTCATGTGCTCAGGATAAAGCCTGTTCCCTGCATCCTTAGGTGCTCTCAAATTAGATGCTGAGGTGAAAGCCTGCTTAGTATTTTTATCATTCTTCAGCTATTAGGCAAAGGATGCGCATGTGTTAAATTTGCTGGTAAATCAGGGTATCTGAATCAGAACTGCCAATTCAATGACAATAGGTATAAATGAGAATCATTCTGCTACAATGCATTTATTTACACACCACTAGAAAGAATCTATTGTACAACACATCCGGGTTTCATGTATAAAACTCTTCTGCTTGATAAAATTATAGTTCATTTTCCCATCAAAATCCTGAAGCACTTCATAAAGAGTAAGGGAAACAAGGGAAGCCTTATTCCATTTTCCACGGAACATTACCAGCCTAGGGCTCAGTCACAAAACACTGTGCTTGAGGAAAGTCTGACTTTCAACATGAAGCTGAAGCCCTGCCAATGACACAAATTCTCTTTATACCACAAGAAACCTGCTTGCACAATGCATTTGGAGCAGATTAGGTAGCTGACACCATTTACCAGAACCATCGAAGACGACTGAAAAATCAGGATGAAATGATCCAGAGGAGAGAGGGCGCTCTCCAGAGTAACTGGGCTTGTCAGGACTCAAAAAAACCCTCACTACAATCACTGTCTGCAGTCCTATCTGAAGTTCAAGAAGCACCGTGACTGATCATCTTCTGCATATACACTGTAAGCTTAACAGTACTTTGGCTTCAAATCCTGTTAACATGTTAAAGCTAAGGGTGAATGCAAAAGAGCCACTTGACATCAGAGGCAAAGATGGTCCTCTATCCAAAAGCAGTAAGTGCATTAGGAAAAACTGTGCATACAGTATTATGCCTTATGATTCTAAAATACACATTTTCCTAACCACTAATTCCAGTGTCAATATAGCCTGAGACAGAAATATCATTTCTTCATATTGAGAAACTAAAATACAGGCATACCCCATTACCTAATCCCTGCTTGGAGATCGCTGTTAATATCTCCCTTGCAAAATTTTTCATCTAATTAATGATCTATCTGAAATACATCGAAGTTAGTAATACTGTAACATATATCAAATGAAGTCCACTATTCAATTTCCTGGCTGTGCTGCGTTTTTATATATTATCCACTACCTAAGCATCTACACAAGCAGTTTACAGACTCCCAAATCCCTGGTTAATGCTCCAGTGACTCTGGTTCATGTTTTAGCTCTAGTCTGCTTTTAACATGGGTTAAGCCTCCTTAGTCTTTCCTTTTTTTAATAGATTCATCAATTTGACTGAATCTAAGTATTTCATAAACCTTTTTGTTTCTTTACAGTTAACGTAGTATGAATGAACGCTGAATCAAGAGCTGTAATAATTTGATATTTGTGACTTTTTCAGCACCTTGAGAAAGTACATTGCATGGGAACTTTGAATTATGTACTATTGATCTTTTCTGCAAGAGTGTTTTATCTTAAAAATGGGGGATTCTTGACACTGGCAGGCAAAATGGATCCAGACAAAAATCAAAGTGAAAGCCTATTTATGAATTCATGTTTTAGGTTACAATATAACATCATATGATCAACAGTGCTGCAAGCTATTAAGCCCATGAAGAGAAGCATAGAAATGCACACATTTTCTCACCTTCAAGGGTTTTTTTGAGGTAGAAGAGGGGAAGGAAGGTTTATTTCCATAATTTTTGTGTTTCTTATCATGACCAGGTTCAAAACTGAAATGCTAAAATTGACTTCACAACCAACAAAAAAGTTAGTTTTGTTCAAAGGCCAGGACTGCTATCTATGTCCAATGAATCTGGCCTAGCAGCCAAATTTGGGTGTACTTATCTGAACACCTTTTAAGCATCACCCACCATAATGAAAATTATTTCATATGGTAGCTAGACTTGAAATAATTCATCAAGTTCCATTATGCAGAAAGCAGCAACTGGACTAGGATGTTGCAAACAAAAGAAACCAGCTTTCAACATTTTAATGCTGGCAGTAATTAAATTTCTGTGGGTTAAGAAATCCAAAGGCTTCATAATAATTTTCTAAAACGTACAGACTGGCTTGTCTGGCCACCTGAATTCCATGTCTTAAATATATCATGATATCAAACAAACTGCAACTAATTTCCCACACTCTAGAGAAAAACAGGCATGAAGAGGTTGAGGAGCAGTAACTGAAATGCAAGTGCAATCTCAATTCTAACACATCCATCCTCTTATGAGAAATGAACCCTGAAGACGTGAAAAAATAAACAAACTGGTCTGGGACTACTACGTGAAAAATGCCCATTGCCAAAGCAGTCTTATGACTAGCTGTGGCTAAACCAACCTTTATATAAAGTCACCACAGTACCCTCAGATATAAAACACATGTAAAGAAAGCAACATTTTTGTTTGAGACAGTATCTGACATTATTTTAAATGCTCATCGTTAACAGTAACATTGTTGAGGGAGAGAAGATAAACACTGGCTAACAGAAATACCCCCCCCAAATTGCTATACCCTAAGCTGGCTATTAGGAATTCCTTAACTAGTTGGATGCTTAAAACAAAAAAACAAACAAAAATAAACAAACCCCAAAACAACCAGAAACACAATAAAACAACCAAATCCAGCAAAAAGTTTAGCTAAGAGTACTTTTTACTGTGGGAGCGTGACATCAATGCACAGCTGTATGTTTGCTGTTCACTTTGTGAGGACCATGAATTGTGAGTTTTGTTAGAGGCAGAAGAGAAGGACTGAGCAAAGGGGAAGAAGGAAGGAGCTTCAGTATGGAAGTGGGTAGTAACACACCTGGGAAGAGCACAGGACTTTCTTGCATGAAGGGACAAACCCACAGTGAAGACTGGGAATGGAAAGGAGGAGAATTTAGATACCTACAACATAGATGGTGTGGAGATTTTTTAAATTCAGGAAGCAACCAAAATCTGTTGACTAGAAAGCAATTTCACCCATCCCAGTACAGACAAGAGGGATGTAGGCTAGTTTCCTTGCAAACCTTTGATTTGAACCAACTGATGCAGCTGCTCTGAATTTTCTCTTTAGATAGAGAATTATCTGTTCTGGTTTATTTCAACAGTCTAATAAAACATGCTTAAGAAATAGGAAACATTTTCAATTATCTTTGATAAGCCTATTTAAAAAAACAAGAGGAGTCGAAATTACTTTAATTCAATCTTCCGCCTTAGTTGGGTTTCTTTTAGCAATAGACTTTGCAGGAGGAAAAAAAGCTACCACGTAACACTTGCCTGTTTCCCAAAAAACCTATTCTGATATCAGGACCTAGATACAAACACCTTAATGATTTAAGGTGTTTGGCTGCAATGTATGCCTTTTGCTTAGTAGGGGAACTGTGAAGTTGCAACCAAGATTTTCAGAATTTAGTATCAGGGCTTCTCTCCTCTTCTACTTCCACTGAGCAATGTACTCACTCTTACCTATGAAGGGCAACGATCTACCTCTTCTGTAAACTCCAAGCACTGCAACAACCTCAAGGCAATGCACTGCAACAATCTCAAGAGAAGTATTTTGGTTTTAATAAAAAGGTAATGACTATATCACTGGTCAGAGTGGCACATGATGGTATTTGCCACGTGGATACAGACCAAAACTAACTAGATGAGATGTGATGGTGCTGATGTACAAGACTCTTGGGATTATAATGTTTTTATTCTGCCATTAGTTAGTATTCAGATACAGGACTAAGATAATGCTGTTAGACATCACGCAATGGAAAGGTTAGTTCAATGTTTGCAAGGTGAAACTTCAAGGTGTAAAGCAGAAAACCGGATTTCCCTTTGTTTCCACCCATAATGGCTGCAACGCACAGAAAATGATTACTTACTATCCAACTCCTCCTCCTCATCACTGGAAGAAGAGCCAATAGAAAAGAGAGTTTTAGACTTAGGAATGAGTGGAGAGATGCTGAAGGAGAAGGAGATTCGTCTCGATGGTCGAGTCCGGCCCTGGGCTGAGAAGTGGGTTAACAGCAGAGATTAGAGCATGCTTGAAAATGCATTTAATAATAAAAAGGAGAGGAAAGCAGCCAAAGCAAACTAAAACCAAAGCAAAGGAAATGTCTGCAAAGCAGCTGGCTTCAGAAAAGGCACAAGAAACAAAGAATTGAGAACGTGCAAATTCCAGAGGATGCAGGTTTCAGAGGATGCAGGTCTCACTGCACGCATAACTCAAGGTTCAAGGCTTTCCTTATTTTGCTGGCATCTTTTTATAGGACCTCTTAATGAAGACTTACATGTGAACAGTTATCTTCCCAAACAGAATACCAATAACATAATGCATCTCCGGACAAAGGGCATCCGCTTCACTGAAATAACTGCTGGGGAATCAAACTAGAACAACTCAAGGTATTTGTTTAACGGTGCTTTTTGCAGTTAAATGACACAGCAAAGCTGCCGGATATTAGCAAGGATACTTTATCTGAAGTGTTGACTTTATCTACATGAGGAGGTTCTTGCCACTTCTATCTCCAAAAAAACTCAAATGTTTTGATAATGTTATGCCCTTCAAAGTTTCCAGCTTTAAAAAGGAGACACTTACATTTCCTTTCTTTTCTTCCAAAATAAAACACAAAAAAAAAGCATCTCTTCTCCTGCCTTCTTCTAAAACTCACAGTCCTTGTTTTAAAGAAACTGCCTGAACATGAGAAAAGCCCCTCTGCATCCTCTTCTGTCTTTGTCTGGAAGATGTCTACCAAACACAGTGCCAAACTCAGCAATCAGTCTGTGACATCAAATCTCCCATAATTTATTTTTAAAAGCAGCTCTTGCATAGCAGCAGTTTTGCAACAATTCTTTATAAGTACAATCCTCTCTGAAAAGAGATGTAGGAGCCAGCTAGCCACTCTTAATTGAAATTGCTACACAGCCTCTTATGGAGATGCCCAAGGGCTACATTTCCCAAATCTTCTCATCATACAAGCACAGGTGGAAACCTCTGAGCTGTGACCTGACCCATGTCAGGTTGCTGGATACCCATCACTCACATGGTGCATCAGTGTGTCCTTGGGAGAGATGATTGGGAGAGGGCTGGGAAAACTCTGCCCCTGGAACAGACCTGACCTAAGGGTCCTACATTAAGCATCTACATTAAACATCTTCAGCACATATATTCAGACATTTTTAAGTCATTCTATGGCACAAATAAATCAATTTGCTTGCACAAAAGGGAAGAGGCTACAGACTTTATCAGTATTAAACTTCCAAGAGAAAGTAGCAGCAATTATTACTCTCTTTGAATAAAACATGTCCTTTCAGCCACCTACAAAAATAATTTTTTGTATTGCTGATATCATAACCCCAAACTGAATTCAGAATATAAAAATACTATCTGAGGAATATCCAATGCAATGCAAGCAATGCAAACCAAACTCCCCTGAAATTTTCCTTCAACCATAAGGTATAAATGCCAATTGCCTAGAGGCGATTTAACTAAAATTATATGCACGCTTTTCCAACGTGAGCAGAACAACCCTAGAGGGACCTAATGAAAGGCACTGAAACTGAAGAATTCTTAGCAAGATTCATGCATTAATTTTGTTTAGACTGCCTTTCAAAGGAGTTGTTCTAGTGTCCCAGACCTGAAGAACATGACTAGGCAACACTGCTTGCTTTCTTCTGTAGTCTCTGCCTATTTAGACTAAGAGTCAAGATGAACAATAATACTTTACTGTAAATAGAACCACCTCCTCCAGCACAGTTCAATTCAACTTTCATTTCAGTGGTTTTATTTATAGCAGTTCCTGGCTTTATAACAATGCTCCACACTGGAAATTTGCTATTCCAAAGCTGAAAGCAGTCTTCCGAGCACTCCAGCCAACAGCTCTTGTGACCTCCCTCTATAAAATGCTGAAGGATTAACAGTTGTGAATGGCCACAGCAGCTCCTGGAACATCTGACACATCAGATGGAGTGTGGACTAGAAACTCAGTCTTGGAAATTGCTCCTGCCTCTGTACATATGACAATAAATGGGAAAAATAAGAGAAAGCCCTCCATATGCTTATTCATTTAGATTTAGTTTTTGAAGCTTTGGTGCAGAACATGTTGCTTTCTTCCCATTCAGACACATTTGCAGGAATCAGGGATTTTTTTTTCCAAACATGTATCACAAAATTATGAAAGTGGAATGAGGAATTACAAGTTTTCCTAGAATTCACCTCCATGAAACCAAGGATTTATTCTTGCATAACTCTGACATATTCTGCTGCGATAAAACAAACGTTAAACCTAGGTGATACAAGGGAGTTTATACACCGAGACCTTGTAAAAAAGGCACTAAGCTGCTTCACATGTACTTATGGTCACAACTCAAGTAACACTATTCCTCTTTCAAAGTGACTGAGGAAGAATGAAGTGATTTACTGAAGTTTCCAAAGTCAGGAAAGTGTCAGAATTGGGAAGAGAATCTGTGACCTAAATTTTAAAGGTGAGTAATCATTTTGGGTGCTCACATCAACCTCCTCAAATGTATTGATTTTCAGAAACCACCTTCCTATAAAAATGAGGCTCTTCTCAGGTATCACAAATTAACTACTGTGAACATAAAGCCCACAGAAGCATTAGTAATTTTTAACCTCAGCATCCAAAACTCACAGACATCCACCTCAAAGCAGAAGACTAACCCTGCTATTTCTTCCACAGCCCCTCTGGAAAGCTTACTACATGTTCTCTTGTCCTTCTCTCTCAACGAGACCATCATGGCTAGGCTGACTCTAGAAGGAGATGGGATAAATCAAACCTGTCTGCCACCAGCTCAGGCCTTGATGGCATTTTTAACGTGGGTCAAAAGAAAGAGAAGAGTGGAAAGGCAGCAGGTTGTCCAGTTCCAAGATGGAGGCACAAATCCTCTGCTGTCATAACCCCCCTGCTGTAGGCCTGAAGGAAAGTCTCAAGGGAGAAGGAGACGAGCCTCAGCTGGCCAAGCTCTCTCAGCCACCAACAGTGCATTTTCTGGGAACTAGCTGAGTTAGTTATGGTGTTCAGTTAGCAATGGGATGCAATGTCAATAAATTGGTTGCTAAAAAAAAAAAAAAAAAAAATATGGCGGCCTTCAGCCCAAGCAGGAAAGAGAGTGCGCCACTGCACAGAAGAGGAGCTGGCCCTTCCACGGGACAGATCTGCCCATGTTTCGGTTACCGTTGCTGGGGGACACATCCGTTAGGCCACATGCCTATCAGTCATGGAAGAATGATGAAAAAGAATTTAAAAACATCTCCTACAAAGCATAATCTCTGTGAGCTTCCTCCAGCAAGCCTCCTAAATGAATAAGACACCCTTCTTAAAAGCACCTTTCCTTTGTTCAGCTTTGCGAGGAATCAGCAGGTTAATAAAGAGGAAAAGATCAGAGACCATCACTGATTGACAATTTGTGATCTAAAATGTCAATATGGTTTCTGGCTGGCAATTAATAAAATGAAAACATGTAACATGGCCCTTCCTAAGCACATCCAGCTGCAGCCTTTTGAACGACTTTTTCAGCTGAAAGAATCAATTCAGTGAAATTGCAAAATTAGGTGCTTGTTATTGCTTCAATTAAGCTAAACTGAAAAATTTCACCTAATCATCTTTATTATCTTCTTCTGGAATGAGATGCAATAAATTACACCCAACTGCCCCAAAACATTTAACTCAAAATAGATAGCAACAAACTCCCACAAAGAGACCAAGACATGGCTTCTCAAGTTTCCATATATCAATTTTCAAAAAATCTACAAGTAGGAAATTAAGATCTCAAGTGGAATTTACCTGACATCAAAGGAGTAAATTCTGAAAGGATGTAAAATTCAAACTTTTTTGCTTTTTTAAATAACAAACTCGGTAAATCATAGTTTTTGTACCAGTAGTCTAACAAACAAAAGAAACCCAACAGAACTCGAAATACTAGGGATACACCGGGAAGAACAAAACATGGATCTAAACTGAACAAGTTCTGCCTTTCCACCCACAATCCCATGCAGCAGTGAAACATATATTTCACATAATATAGGAAGCAAGAGCAGGTACTAGCAAATATTGCCTTGGGAAGGTAGCAAGATATACTTAATAATACAGATGACAGAATGAATAAGGGAAAACTGTGTTACTCACTGTCCAGCACTGGTTTACTAATTGACATTAGAGACATAGATTTGGTCAGTGGAGATGAAACAGCAGAAGAACAGAAATTAAATCCTTGCGGCTGTGATGTTTGATGGATCTGCAGAACAGAACAGAACCACACTGAGCAAATATGTCAAGAATGACAGCACCATCCCAACTTCAGATCACAGTTCAGTGTTCACATTTACTGAAATTCTCACTTTCAAACAGTGGAAAATTTAAATGATCCCAGTAGAAGGTAAGAGGTGAGAAATGAAAGGATCATGAAAAATTTAATCAGTGTCACACAAGTGAAATATAACATTTTGTTTGTTTTTTAAGTGTAAGACAACTAATTATGCAACAGAGAGACTCTGGGTGCTTGATTTTCTTGCAAGATATTACAAGACAGATACTGTTAACTGTCTGATGGCCACTGAATTACTGCTGTGCTTCCAACTTCTCAGCATAACTAGACTGGTTCAACATGGTAAAAAATCTGATGCTTAGCAGTGCATTCCCCAAAAATGCCATTCCTCAAAGTAAAGGAAGACCTGAGAGTCTTGACATAATAGTTCTACAGGCCAGATAAGTATAGCAGTGACTCTATGAGGTAAACAGACTGGCTGGCTAACGATTCTGACATGAACCCACAAAACACTATGGCTGAATCTTCAGACTCAGAAAAATCCAGGGTATTTATATTATTTAAGACTATAATTGCTTCTTTAATAAAAGTAAGCAGAGATTCCCATAATATTGTGGCCCATCTGTCCTTAATAGCTATCATAGACTTCCGCTCCAGAGTGATCACTCTAAATTTTCTTAATTTGCAATTAACGTTTTGCTTAACTGTTGCTTATAATAATGGGCCTTTTAATTCTGGTTACACCTGTGAAAGAAAAATAATTTTTATTCTCCTCCTACGATATGAAAATAAACCTGAAAACTTTAGCAGATAAATTACTACTTGGTACTTGCGTATATTTCAGGACCACAAAAGGAGGCATAAGCATTAATTGCAGAAGCCTTACAACACCTGTGATTGATAGTATCACTATATCCATGCTAAAAAGTTAATAACTTTTCCATGATTACTCATGCAATCAGTGGAAGAAAACTGGAAAAGTTTCTTGTTCTCATCCTAAGACTTCACCCATCAACCATGTTGCCCCAAAGAACTAAGTAGCAAATTTAACACAGTGGAAATTCCTCTGTGTTAAAGATGGAAGATTTTAATATTATATATATATAGGGTGGAAGCTTTCACAGTGAGACTGTCACTTTGGAAAATGACTTCCAAAACATTGATGTAGCATTTTCTACACATAGACATCACATAATAACAGTGGGACAGCTTTACCTGGTGATCGTAGTCTCTGATTTCTCCTTGCTCAAGTTCTTCAGTGAGCAAGACCAGGGACCCGCACTGATTGCTGGCAAGCGGGGTCCGTCTGAGGTCTTTGGAGCTCAGAGAAGAAGCCTCCAAGTTTGCAGAAGGCTTCTTGTTCTCACCAGAGTCTCCAGCAAGGCCTTCTAGGCTGTAACTGAAGAGAAACCATGGAGGTTAGGTGCTGACAAACTCTTAGAGACCCAGGTCTTTCAGCACATAGCACCTTCAAGCATAAATCACAAGGCCGTCGCTAACTGAACTGTGCAGGGAAATGCTGATGTTACTCCTCAGCATGTCACTTCTCAATGACCAAGTGCAGACAGAAGTGGAGGGGTTTCTATTTTCTTCAGAATAAATAGTAGCACCTTTGTGCCTCTAATGAGACACAGTAGTTGCTTGAATGACCAAACTCCTGGTCAATAGCCTTTCCTACTGTTTTTTTTTTTGTTTTTTTTTTCCCTTCTTCTTGAGTGGTGCACAGGAAAATCTAGAAATACCCCTTCTAAACATTTTGATATTTCCACATATTCTCTTTGCTAGCTTTTTATTTGGCTCTCCATTGGAATAAAGCCACCCAAATTAAACTTCGTTGTACAGCACAGTGCTGCCTGTCCTGGACTAACACTCCTCCCAGCAGCCACAAAATCAGCTCTGGGCTGTCTGTAACATTCATCTCTGCAGACACATCCCCTGATTCTATTTAGCACTTGCCACTGCACAAAAAGCTTTGGCACTGATAACATCCTTCTTTCTGCAAAGCTGGTTTCTTTTTTTTCCTTTTCTCTCTGTTTTTTTTTAGTACAATAAATGTTGTCTCCATCAGACAATCAATCCTATTTTATCATGTAGTGAGGAAGCTAGGTCTTGTCCAACAGAGACAGACAATCATCCAAAGCTAAATAAAATACCAAACTTTTCTTGCAGTATTGGTAGTAATAAAAGGTTTGGCCAATCTCTGTAGAGACAGCTGCTGATAGACAAGTGACCTCTACAGAAAGATGCCAATACACTCTCTTCTCACCTACACAACCCCCCCTCTTTCACATGTGACTATTTCCATCTGATATATTTTGGCCCTAACAGTCTGCTTCTGACTCTCCTGCTCCTTGTGCCCAAGCATCAATAAACCCACTGGAATGCCAGTTCAGATTAATGTGCAAGCTTTACAGATTCACCTCCCAGTACACCAGCACAACTCTGTGGCTAATGTTTGATTTGATGCTCTCAAAGTCCTGCTAATTTGAGGCAAGGCCTACCCTGTATATATATCCCAACCTGAGGCTACTCATGACATCTAAGTGGCCAACAAGCTAACATATAAACAAATAAAAGAGAAAACACACTACAGACTGTACAGATTATTTAAACAACCAAAAGAGCTTTAAATTCAGGTAGACTTGCATAGTAGTGATTAATGTTCTTCATTCCTTTAGAAGCATTAAGCAGCTGATAAATATGCATCTTTAAAAAAAAATTGCTGTAAACCTTGAATAAGAAGATTTAGTAAATTTTTTAAGACTTTTTTCATTGTAATTAATGAGAAAGAAGACTGGCTGAGGCGTTTACAATTTAATCTGCTTTAGGAAGATTTTGACTCAACAATGTATATCAATAGCAGGCATTATAAACTTTATTCTAAAACACCTGCAGAGAGGAATTAGTCCCATTTCACCCTGATTATTTAGGGCAGAAGAATATTTTTTTGCTTGCATCCCAAGGTGATAACAATGATGTTACACAGTACAGAAAAAAAATCATGTAGTTTGTTGTGACACAAACAGCTCAAAACTGCAAATTTTAGCCCATAAAATAGTTATCAGTGGGTGACATTAGTCTGTATTTTGTTGGTCGGGGTATACAGACTGAACGTAATTAAATCTGTAACAGGAAAGACAGATTAACTTCTTTCTAAATTTCTAGTCAACACAAAAAGAGTTTAACAGCTCTACCCACAACCAGCAATAACTGCCAGAGGAAAGCTATGAAATCTGGGAGACTGGCTTCCAGGCAGTATCAGGTAAAGACCTGACCTCCAAGCATCAATCTCAACTCTGGGACTTTCAACTGAAGATGCGAGCTTTAAGTGTCTGAGAAATTTTCATCTGTGGCTATTAGATTGGTTTTTCCCATAAAGTTTTACATGGTTAGTCTCTTTGAAGAAAAAACTAGATCTTTCAATTTGCAAAGAGCAAGTCTGTAAGAACTTAAATCCTTTATGAGATCCGTCCATAACAAAGTGGCGCTGAATCACATTAACTCTTGTTTTGATTCTTTGGCCATCACAATTATCATTATGATCGTTGCTGTGGAAAAAACACGCCTTAAAATCATCACAGAATAGAGCAGCTCAAACCAACAGTGCAGCTTCTTTGATGCTCGAGGCCAATGAAAAGCAGCCACCACCTTCACCTGCACCCCAGTTCAGAAGACCCATTCCAAAGACTAACGGCTGAAAAAGCAGACAAAGCAAACAAACACGTGCACGCTTCAGCCAGAGCAGCAGTGGAAAAGGCGATGCACAAAAAGCTGACAACAGGGTGTTTGCAGTGCTCTTTTTCTGCTGCACATTTATTTATACCATACCTTCTACAAGTAAAGTCAGGACCCATGGTAATGAACTGTACACCAGAGGGACACCAGCTCAAACTAGGAATATCAAGAGAGGCAAAGAAAGGAAAAGGGCTGCGATTATTGGGTTGTTATGGAACAGGGGAATGTTAACAGACTCTCACTCTTGCATATCTTAAAAAAAAAACAACAAAACCCAACCAACTCGGAAATAATGCAGTAGCTACTATATATTTCTGTCTGCTAGAACACACCAGAGTGCCCCAAGTGACCGAGGTTACCACCAAACAGGTAGCAGCAGGACAGCCCATGCTTCCCCCAAACTGATCCCATCGGCGAGTATACAACGTACTGGTGAACCTGCTCCTTGTGAGGAAAGAAGTTTTTGGGGAAAACAAGACTGAAATACACCAAAGCCAATTTTGCATAAGTAATCACACACAGCCACTGTGTTAGTAATAATTAGTGTTTTTCTGGTACCTCTCATCCCCAAATCAGAGAAAGAATCCCTTACAGATATTTAATTGTTTAAGTCCCCTCTGTACTAGTATGAATGACCGCAGGCTACTCTTGGGAAAAATAAGGAAAGAGTTACATTCTTAAATGCTGCACAGGAAATCAGTGAAAGAGGCTGGAAGAAAAAAACAGGCTTGTCTTACTATTAACTTGTGATTAAATCAAGAGTCCTTCAAATAGTACTTTGACTAGAAAACCTTTCAGCTCCCATACCCCAAAACAGTCCCAAGTTGCATCATGAAAGATGTAAGAAATGCAAATAGAGAATGCAAAGGCAAATACAGAATGCAAATATTTTGGTTGCTATTTTAAATACTGCTTTTGACATTTTTTCTCTATCAGCTCATGGCCCAGTTGCAGGTTTTGGAGACACAAAGAAATCAATCTTGTCAGTTATGACATATAAAGGATTCTTAAATCCTGGGAAAAGCTGTCCAGGAAACATACGTTGTCTGAAGGGAATTTTGCATCAGCACAGATCTGCCAGAGCAGCAGTGCACAAGTCCTGCTCCCAGCCCCTGGCCTGCGATCACACAAGCAGAGGACATGGCCAGAGCACAGTCTGCTCCAGGCAAGGAGCCTACAAAAAGGGCAGAACAAGTCTAAGCATCCCTGGGCCAGGATTTGTGAGTGCCAGAAGTCTCAGAGGGCACAAAGGAAGGTTTAAAGCCACTGACTGCATCATCTCATGCGAAGTCCTCGTATAGTTTCCACACACAGTGCAACACTGGAAACATTCAGGAAGGGTTTGATGGTTGGTGTTCAATGGTGGAGTTCAGATAATTGCCACCTGTTTTATTAAGGATGTTAATTGGGTGAGGATACACCTGAAGTACCTGTGCTTTGCACCCCAAAGCTCCAGGTGTGTTTCACCAGTAGCTCTCAGCACAGTACCATAAGCATTCTTCATGAAGACATACCTTCCCGTAACAGGCCAGCATTTTCAATTACTTCATCATCAACATCCAACTAAACCGTTGTGGGAAATATAAGTATTTGTGAGGGATGGAGGGACTAAATACTTGCTTGAGATCATAAAAGAACCAAGTCCTGGCCACAGTAAATCCACCTCCATCATACACCTCAGTCTGCACTCTCAGACTTAGGTTCAGCCTCCCAGCAGGTCGGTAAAACCTGCCCAGCAGAAACTAGATGGACACTGATAAAGTATCCCAAGGAAGGTATCATACATGCTTTCCACCTCTCCTTGCTTCCCCCAGCCATCTGCTTGTGGCCCCAAGACTACTGGACTTGGTGGACCCTTAGAGCTCTGCTTATGTTGACTTGTTTGCAAAAGTCAGTAATTCTTGTGTGATCAACTTTCAATTGAAAAAGAGAGGATTTTCCTCGTTAAAGAAATGATGCAACACTTACACTAGATAGCGCACTTTGAAGATGCCTCTATTCCTGACCATTGCCATGTTATAGTGACAATCCCAAATGCTAAAACTGCACGGAAGGGAAGCAGAAGAGTGGAGGGAAGGGAAGGAGCCATGCATATATGTAGAAGGAAGCCTGGAAGTGGTGGAAGGTCTCAGAGAAAGAAAAAGACCTTTTTGGCAAGGGCTGTGGAAAGCAGTCTTACAGAATTACCATCCTGCTGGGGAGCCACCCACAATCTGTTGGCAAGACCATAAAAACTGAACAAGATCAATGCAAAGCATGCAAAACCCCTTTACAGAAGGCAACTTGGGGAAGAGGGATGAGCTATTATATACATCAGCCTCATGGGAGAGCATAAACTGTTGGAATTAGTTTCAGGCTGTTGCTCTGCAACTGGGGTTTAGAGAGGATGATACCAAAACGGTTGGGAAGCCAGAAAAAAAGAAGAAAAAAAGAGGGAATGCCTATGAAAGAATTACCACACATTTCAGATATGACTAGGTATTTTAGGTTGCCTATCTGAGACGTTTTCTTTATTCTTTGTGTAAGCTCGGTGTTTCAGAATATTGTGACTATAAATACTAACACAGCCCCTACAGAGAAGCCTTAACAGACAACTGGTAAAAAGATGTTCATTTGCATGAGCTGAGAAGATGAGCACTGCACTTCGTACTTCAGAGCACAGTGATGCAAATTAAGTGGCTTCATAGAATTAAAAAACCATGTTCTTTCTTGTGCCATTTTTTAAAACTTCTTTTTTAAGAGCCCTCTCCTGAACAGTACAGCACTGCTTATATGGCTTCATTTATGCTGATGCATGGTAAGGCACAGTGATTCTTTTTTTTGGTAGTAACATCATGGTAACATTTTTTCCACATGTGGTAATGTGGTAGTTTGTTTAGACACACACGTTACCCCATCCATTGCAAGGGAAGTGAAATCCTGAGTTAACCTGCCACAGGAGGTGAGGTAGCAGCTGTGGGAGATGAGAAGAGGTTGAACCCCTGAAGGGGAGAGGCTAAACTTCTCTTTTTTTAGCCTAAAAATGTGTAAGTATGGACAGTCCACATGTCTGCTGTGTCAAAAAAGTATCTTATTTTATATGTTAATAGACAACGCAAAGGTTATGTGAATGAAAATGCATATCTGCATGATGGATGAGGAACTGAAAGTTTACTATACGGAAGAAAAACACAGATGGAAGTAAAGGAAAAATACAACTTATTTTCCATTTTGTATGAAGATGGTTATTAAAAAAACAGCAAAAGAGAAAAATTAAAGCCATTTAATTCAGTCAGCTGCAGATCTGCAGAGTATTCTCCAACCTGAGATTGTGTTTGATGCATCCCCTCCCCAGGTGCCCCTCCTGCAAGTCTTGCAAGGAGTCTCTGATGTGCTTTAAATCCAAATTACGCACACGCTCACAGGTAAACAAGTATTTTAACACAACTCCAAATCTTACACATGGCAAAAGCCAACAAAATTACATCTGAGATTTCTCCCAATTTATTAATGTATTTCCTGGAGAAAATAGCTTGAGCATATGCTCTGTGGGTCAGAAAAACTGACCTGGTGTCAGACTGGAGAGGGAAAGCAGCCAAGCAGGATGCATGGCTCTAATGCCAACGCTTCGAGAGGTAATACAGGTTTACTAACATGACAGTATGGAGTTAGTAGACATTCAAACACAAAATAGTTAGTCACATTAGTTGCCTTTGTACCTTCTCCTATGAATGGGAGGCTTCTTTATACCATCCCCCAGAACTCGCATTGAACTGAAAATGAATCATGGAGAGTGGTCAGCAGCTTGAATGGAAAAAAATGAACAAATGGCAGCTGAAAGATTAATATCCCCAACACATGAACAACAGAGAGAATGGACATACAGGGAAAACGCAAAATTAAATACTAAAGGAAGTAATGAGTCTCTCTTTTCCTCCTCTCTCTTTTAGAAATAAATCTGGCTTTTGGTTGGGTTTTTTTCATACAGAAGGAAGGTTTCACAGGTATTGACCACATTGCAACTTAGCTGCTGCCAAAGCCAGGTCAGTTTAAAGTTTAGATAAGGACAAACTATTTGACACAAGCTGTTAGCAACCATGATTAACACCAGCTCCACTTTTGCAGTGCTTAATCCATCAGTGAAAAACGCCAGCATTTCTTTCCTCAGACCCAAACGTTAAAAACACTGCATCATTGTTGAAAGACAGGCATTTCAAATTCGCTACGAATGTCAGGAATTAACTGAAGGATGAACATCCTTTTGTGGCAGCCTTGTTAGTTTTCTTTGTATTTTTAATAGCAAAGTGTAGACATGAGGATTATCTGTCAAGTGCATTTGAGGAGAGAGGGGAAGTGGAGGGGAACTGAGGATGTTTTCACATTTTATTTAAGATGATTACATTTTCTCTGATCTTTTCTGTGAACAAACTTTTATGCTTGTCCTTCTTACAAAGAGAAAACACGTAACACTGGAAAAGACCAAATTCTACAAAAGACTTATTTTTTTCCATAGGCTCTTTGGGTCCTGATCAGCAGGTCTATTTAAGCTTGACTTAGCTAACTTTGCCATCAGGGGAAAGAGTATTTTTGGTGTGGATGGGGCCTGGACCAGGCTCTGAGTCCTTTGCTGGGGGGGCAGGAGACACCTCTTACAGCTCAGCTGACCATGCAGCCTGCCACCTTATTCCTCTTCCCAGCTGCACAGCCCAGTTCTAATCCTTGGGTTGGTTTTGGTGGCGATTACACTTTGTTTGGTCCATTTTCTGCTCATTTAGTGAGTGCAACCTGCTCACCAATGTACCAAAGAAATGCCATGGGTGCCCAGAGAAGGAGAGGGAGCACAGAAAATGGGTGGCAGGCAGTGGGAGCAGCACAGGTCCTGCGCATCAGCAGGACAAACCTTATCTAAGGCTTGTGCTCCATGTTACTTCACTTTAAAGGTTTGCAAAAGTAACAATAAGGGCTTTTCCCCTTTAAATGGAAAACTATCTACTGCATGTAAAATAAGTGAATAAGCAAACAACCCGAATTTAACTGATTTGTATGAAAGACACTTGTCTGGGCTTCACTTCCTCAGTATTTGTTGTTTGCTCACTAAGCAACCAGAATCTCAACGTTGCAACAGCCACGTATGAAAAGAGCAAAGAACCCCCCCCCCCCCAACCAAATAATCCAAATTCCTTTGTAACAGAAACATAAAAACAAACAGGAACCAAATCAGCAGCAAAGACCCACCCAGCTTTTTTTTTTTTTTTTTAATTAACCTATGTGACAGCTATCCTTATGAAGCGCCAGCTGTATCTATGAACATATGAAAATAATTACTGTCTCTTTAACTCAATTTTTCGTACATTTACAATGAATGTATTTTCCCTGTATCAGAAACAGCCTCCAATGTCTGACGCAGGAGAATTTAACCCCATCTGTTAAGTGTTAGCAGTAACTGCCAGCTATGCAGTTTATTATGCTCAGAAATCCTTACATAACAGGTCCTACACTTAAAAATAAATCTCTCCAAATAAGTTTATGAGCTTATGGACTAATTCCATCATAAACCTGCATGTATACCTTATGCCGGCTCTTTTGTAGCTGTAAAAAGATAGGTATTACTTAATTTATTTAAATATTACCTGGGGACCAGGAACGAAGCCAAAAAAAGGTGGCAGTGGTAAACAACAACAATAACTCTTTCACCTTATGTTACTTAGAGGATCCTGAATGTTTTTCAACATTGGCTTTAAAATCTGAAGCATCTATGATACTGCTTTAGTGATACCCGCAGCTCCTAACGTGTAAAGGATACATACATTTCTGATGGGAGACTGCTGCCTCTCACTGGATTATCCAAATGGGTCAGTAACAATTTACCAGGAACCCGTTGTGAATGGCCAGTTTTAATCTAACGGCATCAGCAAATGCGATGACTCTGTTCATCTTAAAAGCAGACCCATGGCCATGAAGATGGCAGCAGGCAGCCTGCAAAGCAGCACTGTGCTGCATGCCTGGGCTTGCAGCCTCTGTAAGCTGCAGGTCTACACTAGAGGGACAGGAGGATATGGCACCCTGACCCTGCTAAAACAACTGGCCATTCCTGCTCTGAAAGCATTAAAATGCATTAAAAACACTGGTCAAACCTCCACTGGTTTCAGAACATGCAGGGTTTGACCCGAAGTGTCTGGCAGCCCAGATGCTGAACAGTGCAGAGCACAGCAGGGAACCTTACACCAACTACTTTATTGGTGTTCATCTTCCTTTACTTCATCTTTTTCCCCACTGAGATGGGGGGCTGAGCACCTTTTCTCCCCAGAGTTACTTGGCACCAGCATCTACACACTCACATGGCTGTTACACCTCTCCCTCTTGCATCTTCTGAAAGAACAAATGGGAAAACTTCCCTTTTGAATCTTCCTGGGCACCACCGGGGACATTGGTGATGAGTTAGGTGGGACTTACTGTCCATGAGAGACTGAGGTGGAACCAGTTCCATGAAACAGGGACTACCCATCTGACCACTATGAGGAGCCTCCACACTTTTTTTTGAAACCCTGGTGCCTGTGCTATCTTTTAATACAATCAGAGCAACAATGGTCGTGTTTATTTTGTGGTCAATGAGATTTAACACTCCGATAATTCCTTTAACAAAGCCCTTCATATAGAAAGGGGTGGTGACAGTTCAAATGGAAGACCTGTCCCAAGGTAATTCCATTTGCTCTGGAAAGCTCAAGCATATTGTAGGTATTAAGTGCTTTAATCCTGAAAGTTAATTTAAAACAAACAAACAAACATATGTTAGGAGATTGTCTTCACCCCTTTGAGTGAAAAAGAAATAATCAGAAGTGACATCCTCAGTTTTCTGTTTTATCACGCCGAGTCTAAAGCTTAGATAAATATGCATGAGTGGGTGCAAAGTAAATCAAAGCAGCTCTTTACTCACCTCCTCTGATTTATTTCTGCTTCATTGGTGGCGTTCTTCCCTGGCCCCCAACTGTGTCGACGGAAAGGTGACAGTGGCCGCATGGAGTTTCGTAAGACGGAGGAATGAGCGGGCACATCCGTGATACTGTCCAGCTCCTCTTCCTTCTCTCCTCCCTCCGTGGCCACCATGTTCATGCAGCTGCCATCCAGGCTGTGCCTGTCCTTGGGCTGGACAAAGTTCACCGTTGGCGGGAAGGGAAGGGATGTGTCGCTGCCCAAGGATGAGTTCCTCTCCAGGGACATGGTGTCATCGGCAGAAGAACTGGAGCTGGTAACATCACAGGCAGACTGCTCCTCTTCAGGCTGCTGTGGATGAGAAAAATTAGAAATATATTAAAGTAGAATCATAGACTGGTTTGGGTTGGAAGGGACCCTTAAAGATCATCTACTCCAACCCCCCCACCACAGGCAGGGACATCATTCACTAGATCAGGTTGCTCAAAGCCCCATCCAACCTGGCCTTGAACACTTCCAATGAAGTGAATACATTTAACATTTTAAATAAATGCAAATATTTTATATTTCACACGAGCTGAGAAATTTGCTAGCTGATAGCATGAGGCACAGTAACCATCACAGAAGCGAGACTTTTGGCTCTGGTTTCAAAAGATGTTGAAATGCTCTGCAGAGCAATCTCTTCCACCCCACAAGTCCCTGACTGCCATAACTCTGGGCTCCCAGCTTGGGTCTTCTGCCTGCCTTCCTCTCTCCAATTCCACATTTCATCCTGCACAGAAAATCCTGCTCCTCTCACCATTTCTGGCTAAAGCTGTTATCGGTCGAAGTGCCATAAAACCACCAAAGGTTTACGGAGAGCGATTAATGAGGAACTGGGTCATCATGACTCCTGATGACAAACTCCAGCCCCTCCCGTGGGACCTGGTATGGGTTTGTACCTCTCAGCCACGACAGCTTAAGGGCAACATACTGTTCCACCGCATCGTGCAGCACAAAAGGGACAATTACTCCAGTTGTAGAAGACAGACAGAAAAAATAAAAGCTTAAATCCCTGTCCCCCACTACTTTCCATTAAGCAGAAAGTTAATGCCAGGGTTTGCAGCATTTTTCAAATCCAACTGCAATTGAAAAATACTGTTCCACAGGATCTGCTGCCCTGTATTACAGGTCTCAAGTCATACTGCAATTTTTTGGTTTAGTTTGCTCCAAAAGCAGTAAGTGGTAGCCAAACCAGTTCTCTTTGGCCAAAGGCCACATGCTGACCATACATCCTGAAAAGAGCCTGTGCATATTCTGTGTTCCCCGTGGCTAGCATAAAAAAACACAAGCATCTCTCTGACATCACCTTCAGTCTGAAATGGTGTTTGCCCCGAGGGACTGACGTGGGAAGTTTCAATTTATTCTCCTGCAGAGCCCTGCGCTGTATCATTTAAAATAATAATAGGCAGAATGATCTGTCAGACCATATATAATAGACTATTCAGCAAAGCCACAGCAGTTAATTGTCTTCAAATAGCAGGCTCGGTGGGTCTCAGCAGAAGCTGAGCACTCAAGGAGCTGCAGGCTGTCAGCTCTCATTTGGCAGAAGACAACAGGCTATAAAATCCCGTTCTCAGAAAGGGCCAGATGAACGGGAGCGGTGCCACCCCAAGGCAGTCCTCACCTCGGATCCCACCACCCTGACTTTGTTCAAACCCAGCAGTGTTAAATGCTCCAGACACTTTTGCTTTTCTGTGCTTTTTTTGATGGGCACACATTATAAGCTAAAGGCTTCTTGTTCAACTGAATAAAAAGAAACCGAGATGTTCAAAAAGTATTCTAATCAAACATTTCACTATTTAGAGGGAAGCCCTGTTTGAAGTTTGGCTATTTTTTATTCTTATTTTGGTTTAACAGGTACACAGTAATGTTCCTAAGGTCGTTTAAATAAATGCTGTCATGCTATTTCCCCTCTCCCATCCATCAAGGAAAAAAAGAGGAAAAAAAAGACAGCATCCACAGCACAACACCAAAGTACAAGGCACCTTTTAAACACAAAAACCACACTAAAAATATATCCCTCCAAAAGCATTCATTTCATGGTAAGGAATGTCAAATATTAATGGTGAATTTGTGTAAATACTTTAATAGTAAACTTATACTGTAAGGTAAAGTATTGTATTTGACATGTACTTAAATAGGAAGCGTATGTTAACACAAGAGAGAACTGAAATGGATGCCCTGTAAAGTTTTTGATGACGTTTGGTGTTATTCAAGATAATCTGATATTTGTGTGAGTCATGATGAGAGCTTACTGAATTGCTTAAATCCAGACAAATTAAGTAGTCATTATGTGGATAATACTCCTTCAGTAGAATAAGCAGTCTGCTTTGCTTTTCTGAGACACAGAAAAATACTGTTAGACATTAGGGAAGCACAGCAGGAGGAGAGAGGACTGCCCACCAGCTGTACAGTGGAAGGATGGGACAGTTTGGAATCATTAAATTTGGATGCAAATCTAGCAACAATAGTGCAGAACATCAAATTATATAGGGAGGAATTAGAGTAAAAAGAGGAATTTTTATTTCCCATATGAAAATACCGCTCCAGTTTAAAATGCAGAAAAACCAATTCCCTAGCAGGGAAGATTTAGGGTTTCTATTGTAAAGTGGTTCAAAGAGATATTTGAAAAATGTGAAATATATTTGGTCCATTTTAACTTTTACCTTGAGCATCAGACTGACTACAGAACGCAACAAACAATTCCCTTGAACCTGTGGCCCACTCTTATTCCTCTAAAAATATTCTGTCTTCATTTAATATTTTTTTTTTTTTTTGGAAACAAAGCAAAATAGTTACTATGAAAGACCAGAACTCTGTCTGCAAAATGCCAAGTGTGGCTGACATCTAAGAAACATCTATATTGTAGCCACCTCTGAAAAAAATTAGCTATCTGGCCAAATGTCAGTAAATATGCATTGCTCTTTAATCCTACTTGAGTAAGAAAATACGCTGTTTGCAGAATAGAAATGGTTCTCTAATGTGTTCTTTTCCTACATGAAAAATGAAACACTAAAGAAATATTAATTTTCTTCAAGTTAGGCTTGCTGCATTGCACCTCAATGAATTCAACCCTTAACTGTCACCATAAAACTCATGGCTGAAAAGAGCCTTTACAGACATGTGCTAACGGGCATTTTCTTTGCTCTCAGAAACATAACTTGGTAAGAAGCTAGTAACAAAAAAATCAGATGAGTCGTAAAAAGTTAGTTTTCTGAGAAAGAACGTATGTACTTCTTCAAGAATAGGGATAAGAGAAATCACTACGATGGGGGGGTATAAGATAACTTCTTCAATTAAATCCCTCCATCTGTAGGTCTTGATAAGTGGAATTAAAATGTTCTTTCAATCATTTTCATGATGACAACACGCAAAGTGCTGAAACACAAACTTACTCTGCCCCCGATCTTGCACATGACAAAGACATTAAAGGTGTTAGAGTATTTAAAAAAAAAACAAAGAAAAAAATTAAACCCTGGCATCCTGAAGTTTATTTGGCATACCATTACACTACAGGAGTCAACATCTTTGCTTGGCTTGATACATAATCTTAGCAGTCAGTTGTTATTTGGATTGGCCTATGGCTCCAGGTTTCCTAAAATTAACCTCAATAGTGGCCTTCTATTACTTATTTATCATAATTTTCATGGTTTGGAGTGGAGGAGTCTTCCTGGTGAAAGCCTCTCTCTTCAAACTTTTATTCCTTCAGGTTTGGGTTTTTTTTTGCATGGTTGGGTTTTTTTGTGTGTGGTTTTGTTTGTTTGTTTGTTTTTAATTCTGAAAAAATAAATGCAAAATATCTATGTATTTGTGTATTTCCTGGAGCAAACCAAAACAAAGGCAGAAATTAAACAAAATTCAAGGGGTTGAGTTGCAACCCCTTCCTTTAACAATGATCTGTGGGTTCCTGACTTCCCAAGGGCCTTTCATCTGAATCATTTCCCAAGAGGCACATTAAAAAACTTCCCAGTAATGCTGAATTTCAGTGGCAGGTTAAAAGTTAAGATGAGCAAAGTGTATGGGCTACGCCCAGGACGTTGCCAGATGATTGTGAGAAATGACCTTATGCAGCATTAATCATTCAAGAAGGAGGGTGTTGCAAAGCCTGCCCAGATGGCTGTCTGAGACAGAGAAGGAAAAGCAGGATGATGAGGACATGGGAATGAAGCGCTGACGCAAAAAAATAAAACATTTTGCTGAAGCCTTAGACCTCATGTTGGAAGCGATATCTGGGTTTCAGCGACAGCCTCTGAAGTCTGAAAATAGTGCTAAAGCTCTCGGAACCCAGCAGCTCATGTTACTCAGCTCAGCACATGTCCTTCAGAGGAAAAAAGAAATTAAAAAAGAGATAAGCACAGGAGACAGCACAGACATGGTAAGGAGAGCATGCACCAAACACCAGGGACAGTTTAAGGTACCTGCGATTTTGTGACCCCACAGACCCCAATGCTTCATGGTCCTGGAATAGAACCAGTGCTTAAAATCTACGAATTTCAAGTGATGTCTATGGAAGCGGCCCAAAGACAAAGGCCCTGGAGAAACAATGGCTTGTTCTTTCTAAATTCCTTTTAATGTATTAAGTAGTTAACAGAGGAGGAATGATCTATACAACAAAAAAACCCTCTAACAGACAAAAAGTTCAACTCTTGCTCCACACAACAGGGAAACAAGAACAGGACTAGTAATCACAATAATCACCATGACACTGAAAGGTTCGAGATCCTCTTTTTGTTCATAAACATGTTCTCTCTCTTCCCAATTTGATATGGAAACTGGGAAATTGATTATTGAAATTGGGAAATTGATATGGAAATTTAATAGGCTTATAACTAACCAACTACAACCAAGACATGCATCTTATAATATTTTTCAGAAGAAAGATTACAACCAGCACTTATCTTAGTGGTTATTAAAAATATTTATAATTTGCATTTCTACCAGCTGGGCTGAATAGTCAACACCACCACCACCAAAAGACTGAATTAAGGAACAAGCTCACGACACTAAACTAGTGTCTCTGGTCCTTCTAGAAATATTAACTGTGGAATAGGTACTCAGACAAATTCTGTGAAAGGAGACAAGGAATCAAGTTAGTCAGCAAAGCAGAGACAAAAAAAGTGACTGAGGTTGAGATTAGCTTTGAATAACTTCCTAAACTAAACTCAGGAACCTTTTGAACCCATTTGTAGACGAAGTCTGCAATCCACCGTATAATGAGAACAATGCAAAGGCTGCCAAACTAAGAAATTCCCTTTCTACAAAGAAAATAATTTCCTCCCTCTGCCTGCTCTCCACTGGCAATTGAAGATCTGCCTTCCCCACAACCTTCTCCTTTTCCCTGCAGCATCCCTACTACATTGCACCACCTCTTCTTTTTAAGTTTTAATTTTTCTTCTCATATTTGGAGAAAAGAAACTTTCCACATAAGAAAGGGCAAAAGCTAAAATTCTGTACAATATAAAATTTACTGTGTTCCCACAGCACTCTTCTCCCATGCACACCCATACATGCATTAAATCAGGCTCGAATGGCAGTCGCCTGTCATAATTCATGCAACTCTACACAAGAAAATTGAAGGCAGTCTTCTGCTCTGCCAAACAGCCTTATATTCTCACAGTCCAGGGTCCCGCATCACTTTGAGGGTAAGATGGGAAAGGGTGAGGCTGGTGAGCTCTGTGCCCTACCACATGCATTAAGGATGACTTTACTGTTCATTTATAGCACATGAGATCACTTAGCCTGGGGCTGTGGTGTTTCCCATCCTTCTGGAAAATATTCACCATCATCTGATTTGATTTAAGCAAACAGAATTTTGTTTCATTAAATATATTTCTCTGAAAGCAAGTGTGAAACCTACTCCAAAAGCTTAGTTTTTCAGAGCAGGAACCATGCCTGCTCAAACAGGTAAGCTGGAGCTGAACCTAAGCATGTGGTTTCACAGAGCTGAGACCAACAAGATAGCTGCTCTATGGAAGGTTTATGTCCTCTTTGATTCTGCATCACTCTATTCTTTCTGGGTGCTTTTTCATCATCTACTTATGGCAAGAAGAATATAAATTACCAGCAAGACAATTCTTAAAAAGCAAAACCTAATCACCCTCTGAACAAATTCAGGCTGCTCTGATGCAGATGGCAAAAGACCGATGCTAAAGGGAGGCATCCTCTGTTCAGGAGGCTGACCGTATCTCAGGTCTCACCCACTCCTCCTTCCCCTTCTCAGCCGTGAGCAACACAAAGGGCACAGAGGTGACTAAGGTTAGTAATGACTTCTGTTGTTGATTTTAAGCAAACCTGAAAACATTTTCCTTCTGCTTGCACGCAAAAAGGCATTAGAGGTACGTCGCCTAGGCAACAAAACTATTCGTTGGAATTGGCCTTAAGTATTTAGAGTGAGTGTTTCCTTCCTATCCAAGGAGTCACACTGAATTTACAGAAAAACATTGGTTCCTCTGAGAATTACAGTACATAATTCTGAAGGTGTCAGGGCAGAGGTCATGTTTGCTGGAGAAAAGCTCTTTGTTACATGAGTTAAAGATGGCTTTCATATCATCTGTGCAATCCCTAATGAATTTGCAAGAAAATCCACCTTTTCAACTGTTCCTCTAGTGCCTGATTTACTTTTGGACAGCCAAAATTACTTTCATCTTTTTAACGTTGAGGGCTGCACGGTTTTTGGAATTCTGCTGCAAGTAAATATATCCCTTATGTTGCTGCATCCGAAGAGGGGACCGGATCCTTCCCATCTATTCCATTCCAGGATAATAGCTTCCAGGTTTCTAACTCACCAGTGAAACCAAGATGATGTGCATTTGCAGCATGGGTTTATTGAATCAGGCCTCCGAGCTTTTTTAACCATATCCCAACCAGGCTTTCCTACCTTTCCAAAGACAAGGTCTTCCATCCCATCACCAGGCAAGGGGAAGAGGTCAGACTCGCTCCCAGACTCTCTTTTAAGGACACCCTGTGATGAGGCACAGACGCTACTCAGCCCATCTTCCAAGAAGTTCTCACATTCTGTGGGAACAAAGCAGAAAGAGTTATGATCTGATGTTTTCTGTAGCATCCATACATCCAACTCACACATTCTCAGTGAATTTAAGGATTTAAAACGAACAGTAAACACAGCTTTGTAAATTGTGTTCACCTCCCAAAACCATGCCTGCAAATTTTCAAATAATTTGTTCAAGAGTTTAAAACTCTTTTAATGCATCATCGAAATACATGGTGCAAACAGAAATTCTGCATTAAACAGCCATATGTGCTTATAGCTTGAGGTGCTGATAAATATGCTACATATCAGGTACCCCACACAGCATAACAGGGTGTTTCCCATTGATTGCAGCAACTGCAAAATCATATTAATATTCAATAAATGTAGAAATATAGCTTGACAATATTTGCTTTCTTTCTCAATTAAAGAATCAATTCCCTCTAAATGCCAAAGTGCTTTTAACGCATACTGGGACGATTATTTCATCCCTTCTATACTTGTCACTGAAAAAGCACTAGTATGACTTCCATGACAAGCTTTACTTTTTGAAGATTCAAAAATTAAGTGTTTTTTAAAAATTCTCAGCTTTTCTAACTCCTGACATTGAAATATAAGCTTATTGCATCTCTTTTTTCTTCCTGCTGTTTTTATTGGGGTGATCAGCAGCACAGAAATAGACTACAGCCACTGAGAAAGCCCTTCCTTTCCAAAAACCTTAACAGACAAGTATTTGCATAAAAAATGCCTGGATATAATTTCATTTTTTCAGCCTTTAGGCAAAAGTATTAATGACAATTTTGGCAATAACTAAACATTCTTTTCTCCCAGCTCAAAATATTTTCTAATTATTAGTATTTTTTTAAAAAAAGAAAGGTGTTATTGTGCAACCTGCTCTAACTAAACAGATCCAAAACATGCTTGGCTCCCTGGAGAGGAGCCAGGGCAATAAAATATTGGTTCACTCTTAAATTACACCTGACTAACTCCATCCTTGGTGACATCAAGCTTACACATCAATGCAACGATGACAGGTTTGGGTAGCTCGAAGCCATCTTTTCCCCTTCCCCATCCTTAACCTGCGCCTGACAGCAGCTATCAAACACCCCAGCTGCAGTCCAGCTGATGGGAGTGACTCCACTGTTGGAGAAAATGATTTATTGATGGCAGCCAGGCTGCCCCCATTTAGGGCAGGGGGGAGCCGAAGCCGGTTGGAAACCCCATTACCCCGTAGAGGAGTTTCCACACCGCAGAGAATTGGAAAAGCACTTATTGGAGGCAACGCGTCTGCTCCCCAGTCCTGTTCCCCTTTCCGTAAACCTGGAAAATCTGATCTGCTTTTCCATCACCAAGGGGGAGAAGAGAGGGAAAAAAAAAAAGAAGGGAAAAGCAAAGAAGAGACAGAGAGGCTGTACAGGGAATGGGCCAGGGTGCTGGCCGTCCAGCTGGCAGCTGACAAAGCATGTCCGCAGCCCAGACTGAAAAACAAAGGGGCTCGAGCCACGTTCCAGTGGAAAATCAGCGGGGACGGTCCAGATGCGCCAAGGGACAGATACCTCACCCCAACGATAAATCACAAGAGGTAGCGAAGCCTCCTCTGCAGGAGCCTCCGAGGTACAGAGATGAAGCAGCGGGGAAGGACGATGAGGTGCAGAGTGATGGGGACCCATGCACACCTCAGCTCATCTGTGCTGAGAAACTAATTCCCAAACCCTCTCTTCCCTGCACTCTCCTTTATTTTCGATTGTTTGGAGGCGGGTATTCCCCCTCCCTTTTTCTCAGCTCGTTGGGTTTGTGTTCTTTGCTTTACACTGCGCAGGCATTGCACAACGCCGAGTTCCGTCTCCCTGACCCGTGACCTGGTAAGCACCGGTGACAGCACTGCCACGACACGGGGACTGTGACTGCCGTCACACAGCCACCCCTGCCTGCTGCACATGCTGCATTTATAGAGCAACTGTGCCTATCTGCTCCTCTCTGTGGAGGTACAGGTGAAAATACAACGATGATGGCAACACACTTCTGCACATAATATAGAGGCAAAAAAACCCTACATAGTAAAAAGCCCTAGGAAGAAAATTTCCAAGCAACTCTCTTACATACATTTTCCAAACCCTCATGTCCTCCAAGACAGGGCTGAGCCCTCCAATTCCATGCCGATAGCTATGTATCTGCTACACTCCTCCAGGCATTTAATTTCAAAAGCACTGACAGAAAATGAGAAGCTACAATTTCTGGAGTTACTTTTTAAGATTTGAGGACTCTGCCCTTACAAGCCATTTCAGCAGGATTATTCAGCAGGTAAAAAAGGTCCAATTCCCTATCAAGTTGTGTATTTTTAAGTTAGCCACATTACGACAACTAGTGGTTTTATTGCTATTCGGTGTTGCCAGACTTCCTGGCCCTCTCTACACTGCACAGCACTGCAGCGCAGCCAGAGGGATGCATGTGCAGTAACAACATTATTTCTAGTAAGGCCAGAACCTGCAGAGCCTAAGATCTTCCTGCTGCTTCAGTCTGACTGGAGAACGCATTAATCAACTTTAAAACCTGCCTCTTTGTGCTTGTGTTACAGACACGTGTTACTATAATTATTAATATATATTTGTATATATGGTTACCTGATCACATAATTAATACTATATTTCTATAGTATGATCTTGCACTAGATAATTAATAAGTATTTAACTGATATTGATCCATATGAATACACGATTATAGATTTGGCAAGTCAAATGAGCGCACATCATTTTGCAGCCAAATGGAGCGCAATATCTCTTGCCTGAAGTGTAAAAATACCATACCAAGAGGCAAGGGATTTGGGGACACAATTAGGAAAGAAGCAGCATGGTGATACCGCAGGTTCTCCTGTAAAACACTCTTGAAACAGCTATTTACTGTTCATGACTATTCTAAACAGAGCACTTTTTTTTTTTTTTTAATAAAAAAAGCACTTAACTTTGATGGGAGTAGAACTTCTACCTAGAATAAACCCCACATTATCAGTCACCCACATTACCTCTTCTTAGCCTACACTCTGAAAAGACTGGGTTTGAACTTCACATTGACACTCAGTGATTCAGTCCCTGTTTTTCATTCAAGTCACTCAGATAAACTGAAGGAGATTCAGGTGAGACCCCTGCTCGTAATGAGAGCAAGGCAAGAAGCGTCCTCTCTACGAACAGTCCAAGGCAAGTCACTATTCAGGGCCCTGATAAATTACTCTATTTGTTTTGAACATGCATAATTCAATGAAAGGAAATTTTTTTCTTATCTTGGACACCAACCCCTCTTTGAAACTTGCCCAGACAAGATTTTCTGTCCCAGTGGAAGAGCCAGAAAGCACCAGCCAGCACGCAGGGCTCGGAGCTCAGCATGGCTGGTGGGCAGGGTGTGGGAACGATGTCTCTGAACAGCCTTCCTGCTTCCTGAAGGCAACTTTCAGAGGGGAAAAAAAAAAAGTAAAATAAATAAAACCAAGCCTACAGATTTGGATCTAAATGTGGATTCAGAAGTTTAAATTTCTGACCTTTTTTTTTTTCTTTTATTGTATTATTCTTTTAGCTAGAAACCATGTCTGTGTGCCCCATAACACCTTTCAAGTTTATTTAAAAAAAAAAAAAGGCAAAAAATTGAAATACTTTAAATGTGTAATTATTTAAGAAGATGACACACCACACAGCTCACTGCTAGTCAAGTGCTGCAACCACATGCTAACAATGACTCATGGCAGATTCATTACACATTTTCTTTAGTTTATGTGTTTTCCCCGTCAAGGCAAGGAGGTCAAAAATAAGAAGAAAAAGAAGGAAAGAAAAGGTGAGGAGAACCGCAGGGCTACTCATCTGGAGTTGCCACCAGCATGCTGCTCACCTGGAGACTCTCGTGTCCGCTTGCGCTCCAGCAGGGAAGAATTGGGACATGGCTCCAGCGAACACCAGCTTTCACGGTTTATCTGAAAAACAGACCAGAGCAAATCAAAGAAAGGTCACTCTTGCTAACGTCCCTGTTAGCCTCTTCTGCAATGTCACTCTGCATCGACCAGTAGATATATAGTTATGACTTAATTTTGTCCCAGTAATAAAAATCTCAAAAGTAACTCATGACTTTTTTTTTAGCATCACTAAACAAACCATTAAAATATGCCAAAAAACTTTATTTCTCCGTGGAAAGTATGACTTCAAGGTGGCTCCTGCTCAAGGCAGGAGTTCAGAGGGAGGATGAGCCAGCGTTTAAGCTACTAGTTGAGGGTTGAAGAAACCTGGCTTCAATTCTCACTTCCATTTGCAGTGGGACTGCAGGCAAGATACTCCTCTGCTTTATGCCTCGGTTCACTATCTACAGAACAGCAACTCCATACCACCCATATTGCTGCAAAGATAATTACCTTAAAGATCGTAAGGTGCTCTGATAATGTGGAAACAAGGGCTAGGGAAGCGCTCAGGTCATGGTGAGAACCAGAAGTACTTTGTGTTTGCATTAACTGAAATGATGATGATGTTAGAAACCCCCATTTTAACCCTAAGACACATCACATGGTTTATTTCAACATCAGCCTTTATCATCTCACCCCGTCCCCCATCCTTTTCATGACTTCCAGTCTTTCAGCAAGGATGACTGATCTGTTCTCAGCCTTCTCCTCCATCTGTCTGTGCTTTACTCTTCCTCAGATGGGTTGTGTTGTCCAACATTTTGACTCTGAAGTCTGCTGGACTATCCACAACCCTTGGTTCATCCAACATACGCTTCCCACCGCTTTTGTCTACAGCCAGTGGACTCTGGAAGCCCCTTTGCTCTCTCTGCTTCAGCAGCTCTGCCATTTCTCCTAGCCGAATGCCTTGATTTGTCAAACACAAGCAAATCTCACCTGGACAATCCCATGTCCCACGTCACGAAATCCAGAGGTTGTTTCCCCTCCTGACCTGCCTCAACACACAGGATCTCGCACATTATGTTGTAGCTAAAAGAAAGCTACTGAAATGGATGACTTTGATTTTATACGCCAACTACATCTCCTTCCTTCTCTCTGGTTTTCCTCTTCTCTCCTGAAAGAGCCTCCTTTTCCCTCTCTATGTCAAATAGAGAATTTTTACTATTTACTTTTTGCATCTGACCCGTCTTCAAATCTCCTCCATGATCCTGCTCTGTTTTTGCAGTCCCCTGCTGTATTCTCATTCCCTCAATGCTCTCCTTTCTCCCATGTTATGAAATGCACCACTTTTTCCTTTTCTTTTTTTTAATAAAGAAAAAACAAGACTCTCCTACCCTTGACCTGACTTGCTGCTTTGACTAATGACCCACATCCTTCTCCCCTTTCTCGCTGAGATCATGGAACTTGTTATTTGCATTCACTGGCTGGTGCTCCTCGCCGGTCTGGCTGCATCCCCCTGCCCTTCACTGGAGGGGCTCCTGCCAGCACCTCTGCTCACCTCCTGCTCGCCACACCGCAGTCAACACTCCACTCCCTCAGACCTGTCAGCTACTTTCTACAGCACATTTTTCTGCCTTAGGTTTTGTCCTCCTCCATACTTCTGTGATGACAAAATGGGGTTGGAAGGGCCTTTGACAGGTCAGCTAGTCCCTTTCTGCTGCTCCAAGTCAGGCTGTACTGTCATCTGAGAGGTCTTAATCCAACATGCCCATAAAATCCTCCAGCAGCAAGGATGCTGTGACCTTCCTCAGTCAGCAGCTCTTGCTGGGGGAGTCAGGGAAGGAGCAGAGAAGATCGGAGAGAGAAAAAATGAGCAGGAGTCTCCCAGGAGAAGTGAAGGAGACCTCGTGCTCTACCAGAGAGTCAGGTCTCACGGTGACTTCAGAGCACGTCCCACCTCCACACAATTTTACAGGCTATTTTTCTTAGATACGATGTACACTTCCTATCAGTTTCTTGCTGGCTCTGCTCATACATCTGCATTATATACACATTCATCTAAGATCCCATTAGACCCCTCTATATGCATGCATCTAAGATCCCATCCTTCCCTGCACCTCTACTCAACACACATATACACACACCACCCTGTATACCCACCTTCTCCCTTTTACATATATTACTTATATTTTTCGTGAGAGGTGGAGAGGGAAGAAGAGGCAGTCTGAAGTCCGAGAAAGGCCTTTGTAAGCAAATACTCAAAACAATGATTTTTTTGTTTTCCAAAGTGACATAAAGATGTTGAATTTTAACTGTTGCATGGACAGTGGGTTACCGTTTGGGTTCCTTCAATGGAAGAAAGATACCCCCTGTTCTCAGTGAGGCTGAAGGGTATCTAGCCTTAGCAATTAAACTTCACTGAAGAATTTATACCTACTTTTTTAGTCTTAAAAAAGCTATAAAGTCAGTAAATATCACATTATGACTGTAAAGTCAATAAATATCATGTTAATATTCTTTTCTCTCCTGACAAAGCAGAACCTATTTTGCAGCACACTGTCTTACATTTTATTAAAGGCAAATCTAGAGGTTGAGCCTGAACACACATAGGAGGACAAATGGAAATGTGCTCAAGTCCACACAAATGAAGGAATGACCCATTTCAGATACAAAATCAAATTCTGCCTCCTTCTGACTGGCTTGCACCTAACTCCTTCCTCATCATATTCAGCTTGATCCTCCTTATTCTTAAACCAGTGTATCTCCATCAAATTTAAGGGAACTACTCCTGATTTATACTGATATCCACTATTGGAAATTGATAATTAAACATGCTGTTCAATAATTAGCAGTAAGAAAGCAAATTATGAGGAGGTTCAAGCCTATCAGTTGATTGGTAACAGAATAAACTATATTAGGCAGAATTGACATTATATTTTTTTTCCTTTAATAGAACCAATTGAGTCATTCAATGAAAATGCATTATAGACATTGGCATTTTTTCAAAAAATATTTGAGTATTTTTCCCATTACCCAGCCAGCTCTCTCGTCTGCCCTGTGACTTTGCCAAGTATTGAAAACGTCTGTTTTTTTCTATTAAAAAAGTAATGAGAGAGTAACACTGAGGTTTAAGGTGCTGTTTCAGATATACCTGATTAGGTACAAAATAGAACATTAGGAACTAAGTATTTATCTCAGTGGCCCTAATTCAGGAATAATAATAATCATCATCATCATCAAAATACAAAGGAAACCACTACTATATACAAGTATTCCCTATGCCAAAACGAGCCCAGACACAATTTGAGGGAGGTTTACTGCATGCTCTCAGGAAAGTGGGTGGTCCACAGATACTCAAAACACAAACCCCACTATCCACAGCCCAAGACTGAGTACTGGACTCCCTCCTCAACAACTGAATTCTGCTTGTATTTACTCAGGACTAGTGACTGCAGGTACAGACAGTAAGGGCTGTAGAAAAAAAACCCACATTATAAAAGCACCTGAACATCAGGGATTGGGGAATGCAACAGTATGAAGAATTCAGAAATGAGGTTGTCCTGGGATTTTGTGGATTTGTGTGCATTACATGTAACAAAACTATTCCTCCCTTCTTCCCTTAGTCTCCATTTCACTAAGAGAAACCCAATGGGAGGACCTCAGGCTGGTGGCCATAGGAGATGGCAAAACCCCCACGCACTTTCTGCCTTGCCCACACTGATTATTATAGCCCATCGATTCTGGGCATCCCAAGTCTTTGCAGCAGGAGCAGAGGATGCAGCGCTGTTCAGATGGCAGAAGGGAATATGAAACAGCCTCTGGGAACAGAGTTTCAATATGAGGCTTTTGAAGAAATGCCAGGAGAGAACCAGCTATTTTTCCATGTAGAAGTCTGAATGTGTTTATCTGCAGCTCAGACACAGAATGAATCACGGAAGCACATCCCCAGGCACCAAAAACTGAATCCCAAAGGATTTTCTGTTTGCCTGTGAAACACTAGAGGACTAAGTGTCCAAAGAGGGCTTTAGGACACCAGCTGGGGTTGCAAGCAGCAGACTGTTTGATTGCTCTTTCTGGGCACACATGCATGTATTTCCTGACTCTCAGAGACATCTTCCTGCAGACATTGAATTTGAAACTTGATGTGACTTAATGCAGAAACCTCTTTGCATAAGAGAAGGATGGTGCTGGACTACCTGTGAGACAAACAGGGCTGGGATGTCCTCCATCATGTGGGAATGATAAGTGACCCCAGCCTCTGTTCCCAGGCTCTTCCTTACTTTCCCCCTGCATGAAAGTCTTGGCTGAGGAGTTCTCTAACTCCCTCCAGTGCTCGTGGGCCTGTGCGGTGCCTGCCCACAAAACCCAGAATTTGGACCTCCTTCTCAGAAGACATTTCAAAAATGTCTACTTCTGGCACAGTTGTGCAGCAGAGGGCTTTCTTGAAGCACTCGTCTTTGGGGCCAGTTGCTACCTGGCTGCCATGCACCTCTCCTACCTTTCTGCCATGGAAAAGTCCTTTTTCTCTCCCTCTGGTTTTATTTTAACTCTTCATGCCTTCCATTTCACAGTAAAGAAAACCACACTGACCTCTCAGGAAATCTTCTGCTATTTTAAAAGTTTGCACTTGTCAACTCCACTGGTAGCAATATAAATCAACATCTCTAGAGTAGAAGGAACCAGATGATTTTAACTTTCATTTCCTAGCAAATCTCTGGAGATCCATCTTCCCTCCATATTGTTTTAAATTTATCCTAAATTTACAAGTTTCCATTTCTCACCCCCCCCCCCCCCACCCCCCCAACAAATTTTCACCTTGCAGCTAAAACCAGATACCATTGCACATAGGAAAATATTTAGTAGAGTAATTCTACTGGTGTATCATTAAGTACTTGTACACCACACTGAGCAATACCTGACACTGGGAAAGATTTGAAATATTCATCGAAGAACAAAATTAGCAGAAAACAGGCAATAACTAATTTGTTTAATAATCAGGAATGATACAATTATTTTTTATTTTATTTTTAATGCAAATCTTAATTATTCTTTAGGAACTACCTGTTCCTGAAAATTTCCTGTGG